CACAGAGACATGGGGTTATTCTGGGCTCATTACATTTTATTTATTTATTTATTTATTTATTTATTGATGTGTGTGTTTATTTTTAGGGGATTATTTTTATTTTTGATACCTTTCCTTTTTTAAAATTTTTATTATTTATTTTTTAAAATATATTTTATTGATTATGCTATTACAGTTGTCGTCCTGTTCCCCCCCTTTATTCCCCTCCACCCTGCACACCCTCTCCCACCCGCATTCCCTCCCTTTAGTTCATGTCCACAGGTCATACATATGAGTTCTTTGGCTTCTACATTTCCTATACTATTCTTAACCTCCCTCTGTCTATTATCTACCTACCATTTATGCTACTTATTCTCTGTACCTTTTCCCCCTCTCTTCCCCACCCACTCCCCCACTGATAACCCTCCATGTGATCTCCATTTCTGTGATTCTGTTCCGTTCTAGTTTGCTTAGTTTTGCTTTTTTTTTTTTTAGGTTCTGTTGTTAATAGCTGTGAGTTTGTTGTCATTTTACTGCTCATATTTTTTATCTTCTTTTTCATAGATAAGTCCCTTTAACATTTCATAAAATAAGGGCTTGGTGATGATGAAGTCCTTTAACTTGACCTTATCTGGGAAGCACTTTATCTGCCTTTCTATTATAAATGATAGAATGCTGGTAGAGTCATCTTGGATGTAGATCTTTGCCTTTCATGACTTTGAATACTTGTTTTTAGCCCCTTCTTGCCTGCAAAGTTTTTTTTTTTTGAGAAATCAGCTGATAGTCTAATGGGAACTCCTTTGTAGGTAACTGTCTCCTTTTCTCTTTCTGCTTTTAAGATTCTCTGCTTATCCTTCATCTTGGCTAATATAATTATGATGTGAACACACCAAGGTGTGTTCCTCCTTGGATCCAACTTCTTTGGGACTCTGAGCTTCCTGGACTTATTAAAAGTCTACTTCCTTTGCCAGACTAGTGACATTCTCCTTTATTATTTGTTCAAATAAGTTTTCGGTTTCTTGCTCTTCTTCTTCTCCTTCTGGAACACCTATGATTTGAATGTTGGAATGTTTAAAGATGTTCTGGAGGTTCCTAGGCCTCTCCTCATTTTTTTGAATTCTTGTTTCTTCATTCTGTTCTGGTTGAATGTTTCTTTCTTCCTTCTGCTCCAAACTGTTGATTTGAGTACTGGTTTCCTTCCTGTCATTGTTGGTTCCCTGTAGATTTTTCTTTATTTCACATAATGCAACCTTCATTGCTGCCTGGGTCTTTTTTATGCTGTTGAAGTACCCAGTGAGTTCCTGGAGCATCCTGATAACCAGTGTTTTGAACTGTGCATCTGATAGGTTGGCTATCTCTTGGTCACTTAGTTGTATTTTTTCTGGAGCTTTGATCTGTTCTTTCACTTGGGTCTTTTTTTTTGTTTGTTTTATTTTGTCTCAGCATGCCTATTATGTAGTGAGGGGTGGAGCCTTAGGTGTTCACCAGGGCGGGGCAACCCTGGTTGCTGTGTTGGATGCTGTAGGTGGGGGAGGGGTCCAAGAGGGAACAGTGGCACTTGCTCTTCTCTCTGCCGGTTTTCAGTCACTTCCTCCACTACACACAAGCAAACTGGGCCCTTCTGGTGCTGATTCCCAGGTGGGTGGGTTTGTGTATGTTCTAGGACCTTGTGGGTCTCTCCAACGAACTCTCCTATGAGGCTGGGAGTTTCTCCTGGCGCCTCAATTCCCACAGGTGTTATCTATCAGGCGTTTGAGGCTTTATTTCCCGGCGCTGGAATCCAGGGTTGCTTGGTCTGTCTCACTCCCCAGTTGTTCCTCCTGGTTTATCTGCATGCAAATGTGGGACCACCTAGTTTGCAAGACACTGCCTGGGCCCACCAGCCGCCACCTTGCCTGCCCCAGTCCTCCAGCAGCTGCCTTGCTGCTAGTCCTCTGTGCCCTCCTGCCCGTCTCCCCTGCTCCTACTGGTCTGGATGAATGTTTCTTCTTTAACTCCTGGTGGACTTCCATACAGTTCAGTTTTCTGTCAGTTCTGGTTGTTTTTTGGTTTTAAATTTGGTGGTGGTTCTTTTGGTTGTGTGAGGAAGCACAATGTGTCTATACCTATGCCTCCATCTTGGCCAGAAGTCCTGGGCTCATTACATTTTAAACTGCTTAATATTTTGCTGTTTAATATCTAATTTTTTCCACCAAATTTCTCTCAGGATGAGTTTGGGTTCTTTCCAGCATTTTAATATTGCAAGTTTTAATGTCTTTTCATATTTTTTCCAATATTAGTTTGGGATATATTTTAATATTAGTATTTTCCAACACTTGTTATTCATAATTTCAAACACAGCAAAGTTTAAAGTTTTTACAATAAACACCTCTACCCATCAGCTAAACTGAATCAAAACTTAACATGAAATGTAAAAAAATAAGTTTACATTCATTGTTTTGATAAATGCATATACTTGGGTGACCCAAACTCTTATCCAGATAGAGAATGTAACACAACATCCCAGAAAGGTCCTTCATGCTTCTTCAGAGACATCTGCCGCTTGGGTGGTTTAGTATCAGCTTGGTATTTAAAATCACTTTACTTCCTATGTCTTTTTGCTTCCTCTGTGATTAGGTTTCTCTTCTGATTTTACTTATATTTTTAATATCATTAACCTGTAATCTAGAACTTTAAATTACATTTGCTTTTTAACTCTGATGGTGTTATAGATTTGATTCCCTTTCTGTTCCCACCCTTAATGATTTTTTCTTTTAGACCTTATATAATTCCTATATTATATACTTCATCAGTTTAATCTGTACAATTCAGTGGTTTTTGGTATCAGTTTTTTAAAATTGTGATCAAGTATATATAACATAACCATTTTAACCACTTTCAAGTATACAGTTTAGTGGTATTAATTATATTCACATTGTGTGTAGCCATTTCCACCATCTACCTTCAGAACTTTTCATTGTTGTAAACAGAAATCTGTACCCATGAAATAGTAACTCCCATTCCCCCTGCCCCTCAGTCTCTGATCACCTGCTTCTACTTTGTCTCTGTGAATTTGCCTGTTTTAGATACTGCTTAGAAGTAGAATATATAGTATTTGTTCTTTTGTGTCTCACTTGCATCAGTCAGCATATGTTGTTGGGTTTATCCATATCATAAGATATATTAATATTTCATTTCTTTTTTGTATATTTTTTCTTTTGGTGGTAAAATAAGTATAAAATAAAATTTATAATTTTAATCATTTTAAGTGTATAATTAAGTGATATATAGTACATTGCACAACGTTATGCCACCATTGCCATTATCTAATTATCTAGTTCTAAAACATTTTCACTACCCCATACCCATAAGCAGTCGGTTCCTATCCACCCCACCCCCACCCCCCACCCCCCGCCCAGCCCCTGGCTACCACTACTCTGCTTTCTGTCTCTGTGAAGTTGCCTTTTCTGGATATTTCATATAAATGGATCACATTATATTATTATCTCATATAAATGAATCGTATGTAAACTTTTTTGCCTGATTTATCTTATATAACAATGTTTTCAAGATTTATTCATGTTGTAACATGTTACTTCTTCATTTCTTCTTATAGCCAAGTAATTTTTATAATATAGGTATACCATATGTTGTTCATTCATTTATCAGCTGATGGACATTTAGACTGTTTCTAGTATTTGGCTATTATAGATGAAGCTACTCTAAACAGCATTATTGAACTTTTGCACGATTCTTGTTTAAGTTTTCACATGGACATGCATTTTTGTTTCTCTTGGGTATATACCTAGGAGTGGCATTGCCAAGTCAGATGGCAGTTCTGTGTTTAAGTTTTTGAGGAACTGTCAGACTGTTTTCCAAAATGGCCACACTATTTCATATTCCCAACAGCAATGTGTGAGGTTCCACTTTCTCCACATCCTCACCAACAATTTGTTAAATGTCCTTTTGGGTTTAAACACCCCAGTGAGTTTGGAGTAGTGTAAGTTGTGGTGGTTTTGATTTGCATTTTCCCAATGGCTAATGATGTGCAGCATCTTATTGGCTATTTATAGACCTGTTTTTGGAATCATATCTGTTCAGAGCCTTACCTATTTTTCAGTTGGGTCTTTTCTGTTTATTTTCTGTTGTAAGAGTCCTTTATATATTCTTAGATGTAAGTCCATTATCAGATATATGATTATCAAATATTTTCTACTATTCTGTGGGTTGTCTTTTTACTTTCTTGATGGTATCCTTTGCAGCACAAAGGTTTTCAGTTTTGGTGATGTTCAGTTTGTTTGCTTTTTCTTTTGTTGCTTGTGTTTATGGTGTCATATATAAGAAACCATTGCTTAATCCAAAGTTGTGAAGGTTTACCCCTATGTTTTCTAGAGTTTTTTTACTTCTAGCTCTTGTATTTATGGTGTGAGGTAAGGGCCCAACTTTATTCTTTTGCTTGTGGATATCTTGTTTTCCCAGCACCATTTCTTGAAGAGACTGTTCTCCTTCTGTCTTTGGCATCCTGGTCAAAAAAAAATCAGTTGGTCATAAATGTGAGGGTTTATTTCTGGACTTCATTAACTTACATGTTTATTTTGTTTTCTTTTAAAAACTTACAAATTCAAAGTGGATATTTATGAAAGTAGGCATTTGTGGCCCATTATTTTATAATTTGTTCATGGTTTCCTTTATTTTTTTATCTCAATATCTTCTCCCATTTTCTTCTACAATTATCTCATTATGCAGAATGCCACCTGGTATTGGAAGGGAGAGCCTGGTAGTCAAGTGCAATGTTAATGTAACTGGGGTGGTAATGTTTCTGTTTTTCAAAGACTGTTTTGAACACAAACAGGAAGTATCTTCAGTTGGCAATGATGGCATTAAAATAAGGAAGCTTATGGCTCAAAGATTTTCTTACCTTATTTAGATTTGAGGTGTAGTACTGTGAAAGTATGTTCAACAAATGGTTAGGACTTTTTCTTTGATAAAGTAGACATTTCAGACCCATCAAAAATTATTCTTTATGATTATGTACTTTCTAGAGTTCCTGAATTGGAGGTAGAAGAAGAAACTCAAGTTCAAGAGATGACCCTAGATGAGTGGAAAACTCTTCAAGAACAGACCAGACCAAAGCCTGAATTTAACATCCGGAAACCTGAGACCTCTGTCCCTTCCAAAGCAGTGGTGATCCACAAGTCTAAATATAGAGATGATGTAAGCATGATGTTTTATATGTGGAGGTAATTTTCACTGTTACCTTACTGGAAAGGACAGGGGCCTTTGCACTTATGTTTTGAAAATGTATCATTAGTAGCTGGCATTCTAGTTGCTACCTAAGAGTAATTGAGATGACGTGTGCCTAATTTACTGAATCTTTATTGTCAAATAATTGACTCTTGACCTGTTGACACTTAAAGCAGTAGAAGGACAGTAGATTTTCCTCTGGACCCAGAACTGTGCTGAGACTATGCAAATACTTTATATTAACTGAACCTCATTTTTGTCTTAAAAGAGATATACAGCATGTTTCATGAATGATGCTATTTCAAAGGGTGACTGACTATTCTGCATTCCATGATTTAATTACCCTCACCTCCAATCCTTGGAGCATTTCACTAGGAGCTGACCATTTTAAACTGATCGGGGTGCTTTGCCCTCTAAGGCCTTTCTTGTGTTCCTGCAGCAGCTTTGCTCCCTTTGCATAACAGCTGACACTCAGACCAGGCGCCTGGATGTGCCTAGACATGCCCAGCAGCAGCCTGTTGTCCAGCCGGGATTGCTCCCAACGCCTCTCTCCTGTGAGGGCCTTAGTGCTCATGGTTTGTGTTCAGCTCTTTAGCAGAGGCTTCAGCTTTGAAAATATCTATCAGTACATATTGATAAGTATGGTCAGTGAGTCATTTAATTGTGTTCTGTTTAAGTTTTTGAAGTTAATTATTTTAATTTTAAAATTTATAATTTGCACCATTCAGCCACAGCTGTTTATCTTGATTCCAATCTCTGTGTCAGCGATGGTGATGAGCAGACTCCTCCTCTGCTGGATGCTATTCATTTATTTTCTGTTTGAAACTCAAACAGAAATGGCACTCAGGAATGTTGCATTAGGTAGATTTCTGTGTTCCCATTTACACATAGGTTAGCTGTGTTCTTTGTACGAATACCTTCATTAAAGGGTCATTTATGATACAGATTCCTCTCCCATCCTCCTGTTGGGGTCAGTGCAAGCCCTCAGAGGCCTTACGAGTAGGTTTTGAGCTGTCCCACTGGCAGTGACTTTTTGTACACATGGAAATCTCTGGAAGGATTTTTTTTTTTTACAAGTACATCAGTTAGCTGGGTTAGTTCTTCTCTTCTTCACTTTCTTTGTTCTTTTCTGTTCTGGGGAATTGTAAATAAAGCCTGGCCTAAAACAAATGTGCAACTGACATGTTAGGTAAAAATAGAAGCTGCTCTTCCTTAATCCATACCAGATTCATCCTCCCTGGCTCCAGAGAGAGGGCCCCTGGAATATTTGAAGCAACTGGGTTAGCTGAGTCATCAAGCTTGGTCTGCGAGAAGCATACACACAATTTGGGTCCTTGGTAATATTACAACATTGGAGATTTTAGCTGGGAATTGTTCTTAAAGTAGCATAAGCCAAAAATCTTGGTGTCACCAGTTTACTTTGTTCTGGGCACCCTAAGAGACAAAAACACTTGAATAATGCGTCTCATTTCTTGGAGCTCTGTTGTTTGCAAAGGTCAGACTAACACTAGCCTGCAGATAGAGCTGGGCCCTCCAAGCACTTGGCCTCTGTTAGCTCATTCAGCAGCCGTTGCACATTGTCCCTTCTTACTGGGGAGGTGCTGCCTGGTCCCTGTGGTTTTCTAAACCAGGAGGCATTAGTTTACTATTTTGCTGTCTACTATTTGTTTGGTGTGTATCTTTTTACCAGAATGCCAGTTCTTCTGAATCGTTCTTTCCTTCACCTTTTTTAGCTTCCAGAGTCCATCTACTTAAGGTTTCTGCTTTACTTTAATCTGGGATGTTCAAGGGACATAAATGTCAAACTTGAAACCTATAATGAGCATATAGTCAAAAGGGGTTGATATGCTCAGGGAAATGTGATTGTTTTTTAAAAACATGTATTGATAGATTGATTTTAGAGAGAGGAAGGGAGAGAAAGAGAAACATTGATTTGTTGTTCCACTTATTTATGCATTCATTAGTTGCTTCCTGTATGTGCCCTTGACTGGGGATAGAACCTACAACCTTGACGTATAGGGATAATGCTCTAACCAATTGAGCTATCAGACAAGGGCAGGGAAATTTGATTTTATTTCCTTGACAAGTTGTAGGAACATTTAACCTTATAGCACTATGGGGATTCTCATTCAAGATCATTGGCCTATTTCCTTAGGTTTATATTTTACTTAAATGTGAGGGTTTTTAAAATCCATTATTAAGAGTTGAAGCCAAATCAAAATTGAAGATTTATTTAATATGGTTTTCTTTTGAGAAGAGACAGAACTTATTTGACCTCTTACAATAAAATATACTTTCTTAAAGTATTTTATAGAGCAGTTCTTAAAAAGCAGTTGGCATTCTTTATGCAGCATTGGTAGCAGTCCTCACATACCCATACTCTGTTGTTTTACTATTTTCATAGAGTTTCACTAAGAATTGTTCACTGCAAATCATGCAGTTTTTAACATACGGTCTTTGTACAGTCAGCACCTACACTGAAAGGAGTTTCTTCAGCAAGTTCTCTTCAAGGAAGGAGAATATTTCCTTATTTATCAAGGTGGTGTCTGTGAACAAATAAAAGGCAAAAATTAAAATGTTTTAATCTTATTAAAATAACACTTGGATATAAAACATTTATCTCAGTTGTTAGTCATGTCAAATCTTATATCTTAACCTGCTAAACTGGTAGAAATTTGGTCTCAGTGGAAGTAATAGTAATTTCAAAGATGTTTGGATTAAGACTGTGAATATAAGAATGTGTGGCTGTGAAATGTGACCCCCACCGTGCTGGATCCAGAGCAGCACTGTCATCTTCCTCTGCCCGCCCTGCAGCCCAGTGCCCATGGCACATCAGGGAGGGCCGCTTCTGGCCATGAGGCTGTCCTGGCTTCCTTGTGGCCCATCGCTAGGACCCTGAGCCCAATGTGTGTTCATGGAAATAGCTGTGTGTATGTGCTTGATGCTGTAACTGTGTTTCAGATGGTAAAGAATGACTGTGAGGATGACACCCACGTTTTCCGGAAAGCAGCCAATGACATCACATCCCAGCTGGAGATTAATTTTGGTAACCTCCCTCGTCCTGGGCGTGGAGCCAGAGGTGGCACACGGGGCAGCCGGGGAAGGATCAGGAGGGCAGAGAACTATGGACCCAGAGCAGAAGTGGTGGTAGGTATTTGTATTTTAAATCCTGGGTGGTTTTCTGAAGAACCTCAGAGGATAAGGATGTCCTGGCCCTGCCTAGTCTAATTTCAGAGGGCCATCCATTTCTGTCATGTACTCTTCCTCTGCCTAGTGTGGGTCTGATGTGGGGGTGTTTGGAATGGGGATGTCAACATCATGGGAATCTGTTGGGTACAACCCCTCTGCAGTCCTGGCCTCCAGGGTCTCCAGGAGGCCCACTGTCTGCCCTGAAGGTTCCCCACGAACCAGAGAAAAAGTAATCTGCCTCAGACAAGATCCCCAGGCCTCACTGAATCAGATCGAGTGACAGTTGCCTACTCACGATGGCCTAATTGTGTGCCCTGTACCCTTATGGCACAGACAGAATGCTTGACGGCTCAGCCCACTCTTCCACACTCCTCAGCAAGTATGCTCTGCCTCTAGTTCGTAGACTAGTTGCTCATTACCCCACAGGACCCTTGCCTGCTCACCTGAACAGCTCCTGTAACCATGTCTACTCAGAGAAGGCTTCTTTGATTGCATCTCCTTGCAGACCAGCTCAGAGCCCTTAAGCAGGGAATTTTGTTTCTTCTCTTTGAAGCAACATCTCCATTTGTGACTGTGTTCTCTCACTGGTTGGATTATCGATTGTGTCAGTGGACAGGAGCAACCACCTCGGTTTCCGTGCTCATCATCGGTTTCCCCGGGCCTAGCACAGTGCACATGTAGTAGCTGCTTTGTAAACATTTATGAACATATAAATACCTATTCAGGGGAGTAGGGCAGAAGGCCCTGTGGCCAGTGTGGCCCTATGGAGTCCAACAGGAGCAGCCCCCTTTCTATGGCTGGTCTGGGAAATGTTCCTTTTGCTGCCCAATTCCCTGGCTTCCGGAAGCAGCCCCAGGGAGGAGTGCCTAGTTTGTTGTACTTGAGCAAGATGAAAAAGGGTTCTGTTCTGAGAATAGAAAATATATATTCACTCCTTTGCAATAGCTGAGCTGTAGCCACCCTCAGCACTAGTGTGGAGTGTGATGATGTGTCTGTCCCTCCTCCTGTCCCCCTGCTGCCCACCTGTGCTCTTCTAGCTCAGAACTGCCATCAGGCCCCCACCCCCATCACAGTCAAGTTGCACTGTTCCAGAATCCATGATCTCTTGCTCATTCACTGTGGCTTACCTCTAGGAGAACCTGCTCTTCCTGAAAAACTTCCCCTGATTGCAATGTGTACTTTGCCACCAAATTGCTTTGGACACCCCTAGCATGGGGCTACTTCACAGGGCATCTGTTTCTGGAGTTACCACTGACTTTCCCAGTCTGTTTCTCCCTTCACCCCATGAGCCCCTCCAGGGCAGGAGTTGTCTGGAGCCATCCTTATAGTTCCACATAGTGAACATTCTGTCTTGTGTACTGATTGAAGGAAGTGCCAGATACAAAAGCGGGGAAGGTGGGGGGCACTGCCTGGCACGTTGCAGAGGGGAAAGGAGTGAGAAGGGGGAGGTGCCCTTGGACGCCGCAGCTCAGAGGCAGCACCTCACCTGCCACCCTGAAGCTCTCCTCTTTCAGTGGGGCCCTGTCTGTCCCCTAGGTGGCAGACGGCGCCATGTGTCACAGTGTTCTGCCCAAAAAGGAATGGGAGAAATGACAATTGGTTTCGAAACTTTTCTTTTTTAGATGCAAGAAGTTGCTCCAAACCCGGACGACCCTGAAGACTTTCCTGCTCTGGCTTGAGAGTCCTATTTCCCTGGCAACTCAGAACACTGGCACACCTGGGAAGAGACTTTTCTTGCTACAGGGAAGAGACTCAGACTCTAACACAATAGATGCTGCTTCTCCCCCTTCAGTGTGAATTCGTTGCACTTTGTGGTCTGGGGTGGGGGAGACGGATTTTTCCACATACTCAGAGCTACAGCTTCAGTCAGGGGTTAGTCTGGCACTTCCCAAGAAGGTGGAGAATGGGGATTATTTTTTTATTGAAGGACTCCCAAATGAAGTTTAAAAATAATGTTTGAACTCTGTACATAGAGACTGTAAAATAGAATCTATTGAGTCTACTCAGTAAGTTGTGTAGACACTGGAAGGCTGTGCCCCTCAGTACTAGAGGAAATACATATAACTTGGATCGTTAACTTAAAGCAGTCACAGCTTAGTTTTCAGAGACCAAGAAATTAAAATACAATTGTATTTACTATTTACTTGTAAATGTTACGCTCTCCCAGGATTTGTTGAGTTCTGGTTTTCATTTAACCACCAATTTTAAACAGCTATTGTGCAGCCACTGGTCACCACTCTGGGACAGACAATTACGGCACGTTTTGGTCTAATAGTTTCAACTGCCTCATAGTTTCTGTGTGCATACACAGCACATGTCTGGTGTAAGTGTGCATATTTAGTGTTTGGGCGGATTTTAGATGAGTATTAAGTATTTGATTTTTAAAATCGCGTTATTTGACCCACCAAATGAAAAGGGTTCCAGGTGGGAGTGTTGCACCTTCATACCAGCTGCTTTTCTCCCTCGAAACTGGAGTCCAAATTCAGCACCTCTGTACAAAGGCCCTCTGTCCTTATCCCAGGCAAGACTTGTAAATGACTATTATTTATTGAACACCTACAGTTTTTCTCAGTCCTTGTGCCAATTCGGGTTCCTGTTTCTTTCCTTTGGTGAATGTCTGGGGCTAGGGGCAACCGCAGAGGTTCAGTAACTCCCCGGGTCCCTGTGAGGTTTAGTGCCAGGCATGGCGGCTGGGGCAGAGGCAGCTGTCAGGGCTGCTGGGAGCTCGGGTGATGCTCTCCCCGCCTGACTGCACAGCCATGGGTAACATTTGCCTGTTGTCACACAGTTCATGTGCTGGTGTTAGAATTTGAGCCTTGGTTCTAGAATCAGGTCTTTTTCCTCCTCTGCTATACTGTCTAAGATGGCTCTAAACTGAACTGAAGTGTAAATAAAGGTTGGTATTCCTTCCGAACTTGTGTATAGAAAACTAAATTGTTTGGTCACACCAAGGTCAAGAGAGAATGTTAGAAAAAGCCCCAGTAGAGTCATTTTGTTGAGAAATCGAAGCTGAACCCCCAGCCATGTGACAGGCAGTTGAGGACCTTCACTGTGGGTAACAACCTATTTTTGGTCTCTTGTCATTGATACCCAAGTGCTGAGGTGTCTTAGCTGACCCTTTTATTCCCTCCCTACAAAAGACACAGTGAATTGGGCACCTCTATCTAAGTTAAGAAACCTTGTGAGGGTGCCTGACAGGTTCAGTCATCGTAATCTGCTGGTGCAATGTGAGGCTGCGTCATCACTGAGCAGACGTGAAGCTCATGTTGTCCTTTTCCCTTGGCTTTGACAATTAGTAAAATGGAGATCCCTTTCAAGGAAATTCCCCTTAGTCTTGTGATAACCCATGCAAAGCCCACAACGCTAAGTTTAATGTTGGCAAACACTGCGGTCTTCCCTGACACACCAAAGATTCCTGTGCCCCGGAGCAGTCTTGGGGACCAGGCTAGTTCCGAGCCTGCAGAGGCCTTGTCTGAGCACCAGCACTACCTCTCATGGATGTGGTGAGGCAGAGGGCGTGGAGTTTCTGTCACCAGGCTGCTGGCAGTCCAATGGCACATGAAGACTGCAGGACACTGTATTGAGACCTAAACACAAGGCAAGGCCTTCCAGGTCAAAGTTCCCTGGCTACTCCTTGGGGGCTTGTGTGTAGATGCGCTACCATGGGGCAGGGCATGTTTCTGTCTGGTAACTTTATTTATACCAGGCCAATTAACCTCACAAAAGAAAAAACAGCGTGACACGCTCCTGGACAGTTGAGGTCAAGCATGTTTGAATCCCAGGGTAGGTGTGCCAACTCCAGCATGACCCAGGTCCCTTCTCAGCCAGGATCTCAGCACTGGACCTCAGGCTGCCTGGGCAGCAGCTGAAGACCTGACAGCTGTCACCCCTGCATGTGATAAGGTCTGGGAAGAGGCGGGCTTGCTCCAGAAGCTGCTGCCAGCTGGGAGGGGCTCAGCCTTGGGAAGGCTAAACCCAGGGCATCTTTAGTCCAATGGTGATAAGCACTTAATGTTTTCATCTTGTGTGAGGAGAGGCAGTGATAGGCACCCCCTTCCCTAATGTTCTCCAATGGTTCAAGTCCTCCTCAGTTCACTAGCTCGTCTATGCCATCCCAATGCATAGGTATTTCAGGGGTGAAAGCATTTTCTTTGAAATCACACCATATGGTGGCAAGTCCTGTGGAGCAGCTGGACTCCGAGCTGGGAAAGGTCAGCTCTCAATAAAAGCAGGAACTGCACTCTTCCAAGCTATTCTATGGAGAGCCGTGCTGCTAGTTGTGGGCCTGCCTGCCCTCCCTCTCAAGACAGCATTACCAGGTTGGAACCTAGGCATATGTACTGGCTGGGAATTGAACCCACAATCTCTTGGTTTATGAGATGACATTCCAACTGACTGAACCACACCGGCCAGGGCCCATTTTCCCATTTTCCTTTTGCTGCTGCTGCTGCAGCTGCAGCTGCTGTCCCCTCAGATCATGCTGCATGAACAGCCACCTGGGCCTGGCCCTCCTCCCCAGATAGTGGCTGGAAGGTGGGCCCATTGGCAGCTGGCACCACTGTTCCCTGCGTGCCACATGTGTGAGGCTTAGCACTAGCTCTCTGTCCCAGAGGAGGAGCCTGTGTTTACGTGGTAAAAAGAATGAGGAAGGAAAGAAACAGGTTCTTAAAACAACTCTTTATTGTAAAATACAATACAGATCAAAATGCAAAACTTCTTTGTAATCACCACCTAAGGTGAGAAACCAATTTCCCCCAAAGCCTACCTACCCTCAGAAGGGAGCCACTATCCCCACTGACGGGAGCTACTGTGAGTCTTGCTTTGTGCTCCACCTGGATGCCTTTTTAGTCGGAATGATCCCCTTCTGCACTTACTGCAGAACCTGGGTAACGAGGAAACTGGCATTTCTTGAAGGGACTGCTGGGCACTGTATTGTGATTGTCTCACCACTTTACAGTCAGGGGATGGGGAGGACATCCATTTTTCTTGCAAACACTTGGGCAGGGATGAGATGGGATGAGGTAGAGAGAAAATTCAATTCCCCTGCCCAGTGGTCTTTTACAGACTCCTAGAATTTCCAGTTAAAAGACGAGTACCTTGGGCAAACCTGCTAGTAGAGGGACAGGGAAAGGCCAGAGGGCACATGTACTGCAGGCACCCATGGAGCCACTATTATGTGCTGTGTGCTGCTGGGTGAGCCATGGCAGCCCTGCCACAACCGCAGTGAGTTTGCCCCATAGCATGGTGGGTTTAGCAGGGGTTCTTAGAAAGCTTCATTAGGTCTGCACAGGTGGAGATGGCAAGACTTCAGAGGCCACAGACTGGGAGATTAAGTTCAAAGTCACCAGCAAGGTGGAGACAGGAACAGAAGCATGGCTCTCCTGGGGCCTCATGCAGCCAAAAGGCCTAGCAGCTTCCGACACCTCCCCAGGCCCTTTTTCTTGGCCACAAAGTTTCCCTTGACTCAAGGCAATAAGTAGGACTCGCCCCAACCAAACCACAGTGGCTGTCACTGCTCTACTATGGGCAAAGCAGGTCCCATGTGTGGGGAGAGCAGTTCGAGCCAGTGCAGCAGAGAACCAACTGCCTTCTAATCAGTTTTTGTAAAATTAAAAAAAAAAAGTGGCTCGGTTTCAGAGGGCTTAGGGGCACAAAATCATGTAAGCTGGGAAGGAGTGACATCAATTTACACATAAGCTCCTCCAGGCATTCTACATTCTGAAAACATCCAGGGTGGGAGGCCACCTGATTAGGGATACTCTGTCCATCCCCAGAGGGCCTCAGCACAGGATGGATAACGATCAACCAACCACTGGCACATAGCACTGGTGGCCCTGCTCTGCACTTCCCTACCCTCCCAGAAGTTAGTGGCACCATTAGGGCAACAGGGAGGAACAGTTTTAAAGAATCTGAGGTAGTACCTAAAATATTCAGCAATGCAAAATGGTCAGAACTTGGCAGTGAAGGCAAGAGAGAGGAAGACTGAGCAGGGATGCTGGAGAGGTTTTCAGTGAGAGGGTAAGGTGGGTAGGAAGGAAGCACAGAAATGCAGAGGCCAGGGGCCTCCTTGGGAAGACTGGTGAATAGGTTCCTTTACAGCACACCCCCAGGGGGTGCCCATCACACTGCATCTGTAGGTACAGCACCCGTGGACTTGGCTAGTGCACAAGCAGTTTATGAACTCCTCAAAGATTTTGCCCAAACTTTTGTGGGGAGATAGAGGGCCTTCAGCTTCCATCAGGTAATCACTGGGGCTCCTAAAGTAAGAAAGTTCAAGAAACACTGTCTACTGACTTGGGACTGAATTGCTCCCAGAGAGGTACCTGCCTGGTTCCTTCCCTGACCCAGTCAATCCCCTGGGTCACCCACCAGAACTCTGGCCCTGGGCTGCAATCTCCATACCAAGTGGAAGAGTCTGAGGCACAGGCCCCAGGAAACAGGTTTAAATTGCACCTTGAATGTCCGTTGGTGAACGCTGTGCTGCCTGGGAGAGACCTCCCCTGGAGGGTCTAGTCCATGTGGAGCCCGAGCCAGGTTAACAGACGGTCAAAAAAGTTTATAGCCCGTGACAGCCAACCATCGCTGGAAAAGGGAGGAGGTAGACCAAGTTGTATTTACAACACTGGACCGGTGTTAGGAAGTTACTGGGGATGGCAAGGACTAGTTTAACTTGTCAAGCTGGAGAAAAAATCCCCAAGAGCATGCTCTAAACTCCTTGGTTAACTGCAAGGCAAATTTGGGGTTGGCCACAGTGGAATGACTCTAAATAAGAGTGGTCCAGGATGGCCACCTCCCGCCCACCCTCTGTCCTACCCTGCCCACGGTTGTCCTGTGTATCACCCAGCTCTGTACTCTCAGGGGCCGAGACAAAAGCCTGGTGACCTCCCTGTGTCTCTGCCCTGAAGGGGTTATCCAACACTCAGCCCAACACAATATTGTAAACTTACAACATTGAGATTTTTTTGTTTTCATTAGTGTTTCTGTATTTAATGTGTGGCCCAAGACAACTCTTCTTCTTCCAGTGTGGCCCAGAGACGCCACAAGTTTGGACACCCCTGCCAGGGAATAAGCCAGGGCCAGGCAAGAAGGCAGTTTGCTCACCCACCCAAGACCGGACCTGAAGTCTCGGAGGACCCCGTTTCATGCAAGTCAGGTGCACTGCTGCAGGGCTTAGCTCCACTGCTGCCTCCTCTGTAAGTGAAACCTTTCCCCTGCGCCCTCCTCTACCCACTGGGGCTTGGGCCACAGCACAAGACAGGAGAACAATATTCCTTCAGTGGGGTCCCACAAGCATCTTTTGCTCTTTTCATAATGCTGCCCAGTAAGCTATACTGGAAGCACATCAGCTGTTCCTGACATGAAGGTGGTTGCAAATGTGTGGGGGCGTTGGGATTGTCCAATGGCTGGAAACATGACTGGCATTCATGTGTGGGGCAGGGCTGGGGGGGTGGCAAATGGCTACATTCTCCAGATAGCCCCATTCAAGGAAGAATTGTCCTGCCTGAAAAGTCATCTTGTTTTCCTTAGAGGAGCATATCCATGCTGAGAAGAAACCATTGCATTGTCTTTCTCCAAGTAAAACAAAGCACAAACCATACCACCCACTTCAGTCTTTCTTTCCCCAAACAAGGCCTCTTCCTCCCTACAGATACACATAGCCATTATAAGAATCCGAGGGGTCCAGGCCAGTGCCCTGGTGATCACCAGCCCGTGCAGGTCTGGCCCTGCTGGGCAGGAGGCCTCCTTACCTGGACATTTCTGTGTAGATGGTGCCCCTGTCATCCAGAAACATGTCAAAGCCGTGCAGACTTGCTAGCAGAGATGAGACACAGTTAGAGAGAGGCAGTGAGAAGGACCTCTTCCCACACGGGCTGGGCCAGCATCCCCTGTCAGGGTGCTGGGGAAAATGGTGCAACTGTAACAGGGACATAGTGTGCCAACCACTTAAAAGGCAAAAGGTCCCAAAGCTGGACAATGGGGCAGCTAAAAACATAGGACTGTACAGAGCAGGGAGTGACACTGGGGCCAAGGTCCTGCTATTACCTGACCAGCTCAGCAACGACAGCTGTTGCTGGGGGGTGTGCAGGAGAGTGTACACTGTCAAAAGTCTTTTTGGAGAGCATTATGGTGATATTTTAATTTTTTAATTAAACAATATATATGGCTCTTAATAATGTGCCAGGCACTTGTTCTAAGTAATTAACAAAATATTAATTCATTTAATCCTCACACAACCATATTATATATTGTCATCCAGGCTCCAAGAACACAGCTATTAAGAGGCAAAGCTTTGTACCCACTGTCTCAGACCAGAATCCACGCTCTGAACAATGATCCCAAGCTACTTTTTGATGTGATGGACATCAAAACTTTAACATTTTGCATATTCTTGACCTAGAAGTATCTTCTGTAAGAATCTATCCTAAGGAAATAACCAGCATTACCCAGGAAGTCATAGATGAGAATGTTAACTCAATGTTGTAACAGTAAAAAGCTAGAAAGCACCTACGTGGCCAACCACAATGAGCATCTCAGACACTGTGGTGCACCACAGAGCAGGCGAGCAGTGCGAGGACCCCTCCTGCTGTGCTGTCTCCCAACACACCCACAGCTATACTTCAGACACATGTGAGGTGGAAAAGCAAGAGGTTCTGGGTATTTATTATGCTGCAGGCTGGCTCTGGGCCCCGAGCTAAGGCACACATAGTTTGATCCCGTTTAATCTAAACACTATGGATTTACTAGTCCAATTTTATAGACGAACAGAGTGAGGGCAAGGAGGCAGATTAAGGATCCCATGGTCACAGAACAGCGGGCAGAGCTTGTTTTAGAACGCATATCATTTGATTGCTTCTTCCTCAACTTGTTATCAGTAAACTCCTGAAGCCTCACGAAGAGACCTCTTAAGTTTGTCCCTGCCCTGGCTTTGGACAAACCACTCTGGACACTTACCTTCAGTGCATGAATTTCTCCCTTCACAAGTCAAAACAGTTTGACCTCTCCTAAAACACATGAAATTACACTGCAGGTACAAAAGATGTCAGATACTGAGGGACCATAATCTGCAACCAAAATCTGTCTCTACCCAATTACCTAAAGGAAATTATTTTAAATGTATAAAAAATTAGTTTATTGAGAGCAAGGAGCCAGATGCTGCTAAGAGTACATAGCATGTATTATTTCACCTAATTCTCATACTTAGGATAGAAACTCTTTTTATTCCCATTTCACCCAAATAAGAGGGTTTAGCAGATTGTCCGTGTGGCAGTGGGCTCTGGACAGTGCAGCCAACAATCCCGGAAAGCGAATATCTACAGGGCCAGAGGTCTCGGATCGTCATGCATGCTGCAGAGCCCTAGGAGAAAAGCTGCTCCCAGGAGAAACAGACGCGCCTGGTGATTCCATCCAAAGCCTGGTAGGCCTCAGAGCCTTGCTTGCCACCAAGCGTACGTCTTCATCGCAGTCATGTATGTCAAGTGGCTTGGCCCACACCAACCACACAGGCTCCGGTTAGTCACCAGGAGGTCACACCCAGCGCTGGCCTCATGGTAAACCATGGTGGGAGCAAGTGGATGCTGTAGCTCTCAACAGGGGGCAGAGCCTGCAAATCCCACTCTGGTGGTAGTTTGGGTAAGGGTGAGAAGACAGTTCCCTTTGGCTGGTGCTTTGAAAACTCACACCCCAGCATGGATCAAAGCTCAGTTCCTTAGGGAGCTAGACAACACTCCTTATGAAGAGGCTTCTGTGTCAGACACAACCTCTGCCATGATGACCTGGGCATTAGGCCTTTAGGATCCTGCCCTGCAAGAGACCATCAAGAGGGAAGGCAGGGAAACAGCCCAGCCCAGGGTACGGAGTCCCTGGTTAGACTCATCAGGACAAGGAGTGCTCAAGCTCCAGTCCTGCCTTTCACCCAGCACTTTGATCCTGACCTTGGCAGATAAAATGAAGGGACTATTGTCTCTGACCTCTGAGGGCCTGATGGATGTGTCTTACTTTCCCAGAAGTGAAACCCTTACATTGTTGGAGCTGGTGGTGGGTGTGGGTAGAATGACTTCATAATAGGAATGCTATCACCTGCTCCCTGTTTTATCCTAGGGATGGACCGAACTGTATCCCCACATTCTCAAGTTTAAGCCCGTGTTCCCAGTACCTTACAATACAACTGACCTTGGAGACAAGGCCTTTAACAGGTGATTAAGTTGAAACGAGACCATTAGGATGGGCCCTCACCCAATCTGACTAGTGACCTAAGAAAAGGAGATGAGGCTGACAGAGGAATGCCCCGATCGGAGTGCTCAGAGAGAAAGCTGAGGAGAGGCATCGAAGGGACCAACACTGCCGACACCTTGACCGGAGACTTCCAGCACCCAGAACTGTGGAAGCACAGTTTTCTGCTGCTCGAGCACCCGGCTGGCAGTGAGCTGCTCCCGTGCCCTGGCAGACACACACTGAGCGTCACAGCCACATTAACTGTCCCCACAATTCGGGATGGTCAGTGAATGAACACAAACACACCTAAAGATTGTCTGGTTAACACTTTTAATTACATGATTATAATTACACAATTTCCACTATTCAGTATTTTGTATAAAACCAGTTCCAATACACATGATTTTTCAAATACAACATGTATCAAACTACATAGATATGCAAAGTTTACACACCATTAAGAAGCTTTATCTTAAAAATACCTTCAGGAAAATAAACATTCATTCAACCAGTTCTCTCAGCTTTATAAAATATGATTAGAAATATACATTTTAATTTAAAAAATCAAGACAATAGTTGACCAGATACTGATTAATCAGTTACATTTTAAAACTTTTAATAAATCTGTACATGAGGGCAGGTTAGATAAAGTATGTAAATTATTAATATAAAACTGCAGTACTGCAATTAGATGACACACCTGCTGACATTTAATTCTACTAAGCAACTGAGGAGATAACTTCCTACCCAGTACTGGTGAGCTATCCAGTCTTTTCAGCACACCTGTAGCACTCCCACCTAGTGGCATGGAGAATACTCAAAGATTTAGGAGAAAGAGAAGAGCAGCAGCTGACCTCACAAGGCAGTTTTAGTGAGAGATAACTGAAAGAATTTAAAATAGGTTTTTAAAGTTGTTTTTGATGAGCACTGCTTTCCAAAATGCAGTAATTAAAAATGCACAAAGAGACGCAGTAGAGCTACTTTAGAATAAACATCAAAGGAACGCACTGCTCATGTGTCATGAACACGGATTCAAGCAAAGGAAAGGCTCCCAGAGCTCTTGGCACAACACGACCCAGACGCCTGAGGGGTCCGCACAGCCTGCCCGCCAGGGATCAGGCTCCCAAAGGAAACACCTTTGTCGAGTGAGAACACTGGGGAACACCTCTAAAACTTGTCTGGGCCCACGAGAAGAGGTAGAAATCACCCCTGAGAGGGGGAAGAGGTCAAGGGAGGAGGAAGGCGGGTGATCGGAAGGGGATCGAGTTTGGGACAGAACTCTCCTGGAAAGTGGAAGAGCAGCATGTCGCTAGGAAGCAGCTACCTGACAATCAGGCTACTTGTCTCAGTGAGGCACTGCTCAGGCTGGTCCTCTTCATGACAGGTCACTGAGTTTCCTCGTTTTTAAGAAACACAAAATAGAAGTCCTGTCTATACTTCCTGGTACCCCTTTTTGCAGACACCCTTCCTTTGGGCTGTCCCTCACTTTTGATGATTTTAGTGCTCAGAAAACTTCAAGCGCACCTAAAAATATTTCCAATTTTCACTGCAATGGAAATGATCAGGGTGTACTTTTAAAGCTATCTAAGTCTCTTAAGGAAAAGGAATCTCTCCACCTGACATGCTGTTTCACATTCCATTGCTAAAAGGTTTCCTGTAACAAGAACTTAAAATTAGAATCTTAGGAGATTCTGGGTGTGTTGATTTTTCAGCTGGGGGGTGGTAGGGAAAGAGTCCACTCTTATTCATAGCAAGAGCTTTCCATCAGTCTGATCCACAGACTTCCTAGATTCTAGGTATATCCTCCAAAGTTTAACACTGTTGCTGTGTCCTTCTGTGTTCCAGGAAATGACTCTTTATGACTAGTTTCCTATGACTAATTTCAGCAATGAGCCTGGTAAACACAAGGATTTTTAGAGAGAGCCACAGTGATAGCACTTCTAGCTGGAAACGTGAGCAGCCAACACAAAAAGGCAATTAGTAGAATAATAAGTACTGTGGTTAACACTGAAGTCCAAATTTTTACTCTTGGCCAAGCCACCAAATGGCTTATTCGTTGGGAGGGGACAGCACATGTACTTGTTCTGACATAATAAAAAGCCAAACCAAACACAGTTCAGATGGAAATTTGAATCTCACAACCACCTGAATTATATTTATGCAGGAGATGGCCTTTAAAAGTGTAAAGGGAAGAAAATTTGCCCTGAGAATTCAATGTTTATGCCTGGGCAGTCTGAATATCTAGCATTCTCTCCCAGAACAATCTAGCAAACAGAATGTTTCTCCTCCCACCCAAAGCTCGTTGGAAAGCAGTCTTCCCATCAGGCAAGTTGGTCTTTGTGTTTATGAATTTCCATGGATAGAAAAACCACTGTTTTTCTGAGATCTAGGCCCCAAGGTGTAAAAGCCAGCATGACCCGACCCCACGTGGTCTAATGGGGAAGGAAGTGCTGCTTGTGTGGTCAAAACAACGGCGGCTTCCACTGTCCCTCAGAGTGAGGCAACCTCGCGATTATCCAGAGTGTAAGCACGGAAGTGGAGCCAGGGCCTTCCAATTACTTTTGCACTGACACACTTTACTCTGTTTATGCAAACCACTTCCTATTCCTCATAGTTTCGTTTCAAAGACAGCTTTAAAAACATGAAATTACCTACTGACTTGATTCATTCATCTCGTAATGTGAAGGCATTTTGCCTTTCAATAACGTATCCTCCAATTCTCCAAACTAGGATGGGGCAATAGTGGTTAACAATAGCTACAACCATTCATTCACTTAAAAGTACCCTTTTATAATGGACCCCATTTTTTTTTAGCAGCAAACACTCTTTGTTTGTGATCACTACATCACAGACTCTACTGTGTTTCTGCAGGGGGAGAAGGCACTCTACAGAGCTGAGTCCCTAACCAAAGGCAACAGTGAGTGTCTTATGTACAAACCACTGAAATCCAGACATGAGTCGGTGTCACTGAAATCAAAGGGTGTATGAATGGCCTTGGGCTGATCACATTACCAAAAAGTCCACAATGGTACAGAGAAAGACCCCAGTAAAGCAGCAAGTTTTTTTTTTTAAGCCACCATTGTTTCAGATTACTGTTTCCAAGGAGAAACACCAAAAGTGTGGGGGTTTTCCATGCAAAGAAGTAAGTACAATTTTAATCTGTACAACTAGGCAACCAAATAATTTAGCTCCTAAATGACAGAAAAAGGAATGACTTCAATAACCTTCCAACTCTGAGGCCAGTTCCTCCTCCCAAGTCTTTTAAAGCTACTACTGATCTTCTCTTGCAAGTTTTAGGACACCAGTGCACCTACGGCTACTTTGTGTCACAGCATACAACAGTCTCTGTATGTGGTTTTTACAGAGTCTTGTCAATAAAGCACTCTTTGGTGGAAGACAAGCAGCTTGGGTACTTAACACAGTTAACATTACAACAATATCACAAATATTAAAATGAAGATGATTACACCAAATAGTATCAAATTACAGGAAGTACCATTTAAGTAATGCCTGTTTTATATTTATAAATTTTGACACAGGGTGAACAGAGAATAAATAGGTAAAAAACCTCCATCAGATGCTTAATTCCTCTGAAGGCCAGCAGCGAAAATGATTGCCATCACAGGGACACACATGCACCCACAGAGTAGTCAGCCCTCTTGGTAACAGAGGGCTTTGATATTTACACCTGAGACGAAATTTACAACAGCTTTTTTTGTTGTTCAACTTGAGACGTTTCTACAAAAGGAGAGTTGGGCTATCTTGAGGTCATCCCTTGTACCCAAACTCGTGTAGTTATTTAAACTCCAGTGGACATTTTCTTCATTGAATAAACTTCTTAGGTGGAAAGCAGCTAAGGCTTTTTCAATTTTTTTTTTGTTTCCAAAACAAATTGTGCTAAGTCCTGTTGTAGTTTTCTGTTCCTAGAGTCTTCCTTCAGTTCTGGTCACAGGTTTTTACTTAACGCAAGACTGTTTTAGTCCTTGAAATGGAGGGACTACGGGGGGAGAAAAAAAAGGATTTTACCATGAAGGTTTCCAAGTGTCCCACATGTAGTTATCAAAGACAAGGAAGGCAACATAATAAAAAATACTGACATGCTAAAGAGTACACTCTTTGTATAATTCTTTAATGACAGATACTTTGGAAAAAACAGTACAATACCAACCATAAAGACAAACAGGAGAGAAAGGCAGAGCAGAAAAAGGTTCAGTTCTGCAAAAATAAAAATAAAAAAAATAAAAAAAAATAAAAAAACAATCAAAATAAAAGAGGGGAGGCGGGCAGAAGCAGCTGAGCAATGAGAGTACCATAATGCCATTAAGGGCATTTGCTGCAAAGCACTCCTTTTCCTTCTTTCCCTCTGAGGAACCAGGCTGCGGGAAAAGTGAAAAGACGAAAAGATAAAGAAGTGTTACTCGATTATTACCCAAGCCAGAATTTGGTCACAGAAAAAGCTGTGGCACATCAAGCAGTTTCCAGTTCAGCAGAGCATGCCTGGCACTGCACCTGGTCCCCGCCTTCCTCCAGCGCTCAGCGCGAGGCCACGAGGGGATGGCCCGCCGACTCCTAACCCAGGTGCCACCAGTGGCACCAGGCAGAAACACCAGAAGAGCCCTTGTCCATTTGTCAGTAATTACCCTTGATTGATCCTCACCCTACCTCCCTAGTTTCTTTCCACAATTTATTACATCACACTTTCAACTAAATAGCAACTTTCAGAGAAACACTAAAGCAAAAGAAGAGAAAAACCAATTCCAGTTTGAAGGTGCCCCTCACTGGGATGATGACAACGCTCTACCAGAGCAGTTCATCTACATCCATCACAGGGCTTTCGGAGACTTCAACAGAGTACCGAGTATAAAGGTCCAGGTCAGTTCACAAGTGGGAAAATATCTGGAATTTCAAAGGTAGATTAACATTTTAAAAGATCAGAGGTAACCAGCATTTTAAAAAAGAACATTTAGATACAATATTCTGGGGCTTCTGTAAGGATGTGCTTTTGGAGATAATGGCAACAACAAAAATTAAAGCCCAGAGGTGATGGAACAGTCACTGGGAAATGACTCTAATGGGCAAGATGCAATGGTGGCAAGAATCAGAAATGAGAAGGTGTAAAAAGACCCCCCGCTAAAAATGTCCTAACTATAGGGCTGGTAAAGAGCCCTCCCAATCTGAGTAATCAGGCACAAGATGCCTCAATGCAATGAACACTAGGTAGGTTTCGCAGGTGGAGCAGAAAGTGATGGTTTCCAAAGATGCAACCTGGAATAAAAATACTCTTGTATACGACAGTGTTCTTAGCAAATGGACGAGGTTATAATTGAAACCAAAAAGAAAGAAAGGAAAGACTGCAGCAAAGAAAGAGCATAAGCTGACAGAAGCACGCATGCAGTGGGCGAGCTGTGTGCCGAGAGGACTGAATGATGTCGGTAAGGTGGGTTCTCAGAGGCACGATGGTGACATTTTCAAGGCTCAATCTAAGAGAGCTCTCCAGAGAGTTAATAAGAGAACACGGAAGAACAGGCCAATTCTTCACTGGATTTATTATTAAAAGAGAAACATTAAAATGAGTTTCTAGCTATAATAAGAAGTGGGAGGTGTAGGAGCACATTAGTTCACTTCTTTCTGCTCAGGAAGGGGATGAGGAAGATACACACAGAACCACCTGGCACTGAGGGTCAGCTACCGCACCACCCGCCCAACAGACGCTGCCGCTGCCAGAGCAGAGCTTTTCGCACAAGACTGAGGATGAGACACAGCCTATGTTCAATGGATGCATGAGGGAATAACCATCTGCCATGAGAAAAACAAATGCTTATGACAATAGGCGGTTTTTTCAAGTATCAAATATTTGCTCTTTTAACATGTTTGTGGAAAAATTCTCCAAAGCTGCAGATCCTCTCAGTAAACTGTCAAAAGTCAAGAGGGCCATATCAGTTGAAAGTGAGTTTAGGTGAGGTCTTCATCCTGGAAACCTCTAAGAACAGAACAAGGCATAGAAATGAGAGGTCAAGTTCCTATGGCACAGTGAAATGATGATGACGACACGTGAACAACATAAACCTGCAAAAGAGAAGGCTTCCCAAACGGGAGTGACAGCAGACTGGCAACCCCGGTGCCTTATTTATGAACATACACCGAAGGAGTGGGCTATTTTGTTTTTGTATGGTTGTCTAAAGAAAAGAATTCTGTTCTATACTTTACAATTACTGAATAATCTTAGCTCATGTTATTTTGTCCTGAATCAGATTATGCACAAATATGTTAATTCCCCCACCACCCTCCAACCAAAAATGAATACTATTCAGTAGGATAAAAGCTTCAGTTTACAGCTTATTTGCCTCAACTCCCATTATTCCCTAGAAGCCAGGGCTGGGACCCATATATAACACATTTTTCTTTTGGGAGCTATAGGTGGCTCACAGGGTGACATGAACACAGGTCAAAGCCCCAAAGGAGGCAAAGGAGCCCCTCCACCAAGGGGGCTGGTTAATAAACACAGTGAGACCCAGTTAATTCTCACTACTTTACTTCTTTACCCTTCCCAATTTCTGATAGTCCTTTTCAGAGAATTGAAAGATGTCTTTTTGCTTTTCAACACTATCCTCAATGCCTGGAAACTGCTTTGGGCAATTTCAATATTTAATCAAGCATTTCAGTCTGAACTCGACTTGACACCCCTCAGAGCATCTGGTCCAGGGAACTCAGGGAGATGCTCACTGCACAGGAAGCACCTCTGGCTGAGAAACACAGGTTTAGATCACTAGACAAGACCTAGGTGGGAAAACTGTGGCACAGCCACGCGCCTCAGAGGAACACGTGTGACAGGGCACACACTGTGCGGTTCCCGGACTCTGTTCCTCTGCAACCTGAAGAGCACAATCCAGAAAAGGGAAGGCAGATTAAATGTGCAAGACACACTAGACTGTAATGGAAGCCTGAGCAATTATACCTAAAAAGATTATGTCCATTCAAAACATTTCTAACTATCACCAACAGCAAGCAGGCTTCTTACTTGAATTCTAGTAGTTTAATTCGCCTGAAAGTGTCAAGGTTAAAATACTCCCATTTCACTCCATTTATTGTAGTCAAGTTGGGGAAAAAAAGGATAAAAAAGAAAAGAAAAAATCCCCAACTGTCTTACCAACCAGAAGAACTGTTAATATTACAGCATATTTTCCTTTATCTTATTTCAATACTTATATGGAAATATACACATTTATAAATATTTATGTTTATAAATGTAAACATCTACACATTTCTATATACATATATAAAGTACATTGTACACTTACAAAGTGAAGGGTAATACTTCATAAGAATCATGTACAGCTCTTTTCACTTATTGCTTCATGAGTATTTACCCAGATCATTAAATTTTCTTTAAAAACATGACTCTAAATTTATTTGGTATAATTCATTAATCTTTAAACCCCATTTCCTCATTCTCAGTGTTATATATAACATTCTGGTTTTATGTTATAATGTACCTAAATCTTGGATTTTTGGTCAACATTTCTTTACTATTCTTCTCAAGTGGAATTAGTAGGAATAGCTGATACTTTTCTAATGAAAATTTTTAAATTCTAAATTCATGAGTCAGTACCTGACTCTCAAATACTTGTACTGGGGCATGATCGCATTCTCATACAAGTAAAACTGTACAAAGGATTCAGTAAAGAGGAAAAATGGCAGAACCGAACAATTTCTTAATAAAGCAAAACACACAGAGCCTCACTCAGCCCTGAAGACGGGTGCCTCCGGTCAAAACCTCAAAGATATGGGGGCAGAAAAGTTACAAAGCACCACGGAATTCATGCAGGATGTTTTACTGAAGCCTGGTCTGGGTCATCTTCCGCTGACTGTGGTCTACTAGAGGGGACTTGCTGTGCCAGGAGCTCAGTGCCTCACACAGGACCACACAGGCTGCTGCCTCGGGCCAACACACACGAACTTGAAAAGGCGCCTGCCTGCCATTCTTGAGGCCATACTTTGTGCCTTACAGGCTCCTTCCTCAAGAGGGATGTTTTTAGAATATGTTAAAAATAAAATGTCTGCCTTCAGTTCATGACAAACATCCAAAGACAACTGTGAGTAATGGTTTTGGTCACAGAGAATTCCATTTCTGCCCTTATTAATGACGAAAGTGAAAGATGCTGGGCTCGAAGTGAAAGAATGAGCCCCCTTAGGTGTGGACTATGGCCAGGAGGGCAGTCCCTAGGTCAAAAAGGTCACAACTCACTCAATTTCACGTATTTCCACCATCATACTTATTTGCACTGAATTCCCCAACAATTATGCTGAATCTGATACACAGAAAGAGTTCCTCCAAGTCCTGACAGAGATGGTGGAAATTCTTAATTGAGAACTTACATATACAACATTCTCAACTTTCCCATGTTATGACTCAGGCACCACAATTCCAGCATTGAGAATCATCTTTGAAAAACAAAACTAAACAATAGCCTGCACTGAAATAGTCCAGATTTTTTTAGATGACAAACAAATCAAAAACATTTGATTAATTTTCCATCATAGGGACTCTGCTTTTCCTATCTTCATTTCTAGCTCCAAAAGATTACACTGGGAAACCAAATGCTTGGAACTTTTCAGAAGAGTAGGATTCTTTTCTCACCTTTTAAAACTGCTTTTTCTTGAAGCAGATCTGGTGGTTCTTTTAGTAATGCCTGCACTGCCAGAAATGTCAGGTTCAGACGTTTTACAGCTCTGAACACTGGACTGAAGAATTACTCTGAAAACAGTTGGAAAAAAATAACATTATATTCACTGAAACAATTTGCAAATACTTGACAGGAAGGCGTTTTTGCACTTTAGTGCAATTATTTAATGAGGAATTGATGGGATTTGCCAGAAACACATTTGCCAACAAACTGAAACACATTTTTACATCAAGCTCTTTTGAAATGAAGCATCTTATTTCTCTATGTGGGTTATAGAAAGATAATTAGAGTGCTTTGGTTTTGGAAAACAAATGATCTGGCATTTTCAACAATTCCTACACCAAAGAAATCAATCAGTAAAACAAATCTGTGTCCCAAAGTAAAAGTAGATTCCCAGAATTCTAGTCATGAAAATAAGAACTCATTTAAACCCCCTGAAATTCTAAAGAATGTGAATATAAATATCTATACAATATTCACTCCTCAGAGCTGAGAGTAAGGGCAATATACTCTGAATCAATACCAATTTTATGATAACATTCCAAATTTTAAAAACATGTTCAAGCAAAATGTGAGTTTTGTCTGGATTACCACTGTTCACCAGTCACCAAGCACCCACTAACAAGAAAGTGAAACCGCTCAATTTTGTGAGACTCGATTTAATTGACCTCTAAAAGCCTCAAGGAAGCAATGCCTCTGGGAGTAAATCACCTCAAGGCATATCAATGAATCAGAAAGAACTCCCCAAGATTAAGGCTAGGTATTATGTTAGGTGGAAGGTGGCTTTGTGTGTGTGTGTGTGTGTTTTAAAGAGACAGGGGAAGGGAGGGAGAGAAATAGAGGGAGGGAGGGAAACATTGACTGGCTGTGTCCCGCACGCCCTCAACATGGGACCTAACCCCCAGCCCAGGCCTATACCCTTCTGGGAATAAACCTGTGACCCCTCACTCTGCTGCAGGATGTGCCCAACCAACTGAGTCACACCAGTCAGGGCTGAAGGGTGTTTTTAAATTCCTTACTCAATTGTCACAGGGAAAACAGCAGAAAACATCAAGAGATAATGACTGAAATGCTAAAATGTGTGTACACACACTTATATGTTCCACTTTGATTTCTCTGTAAGAGAAAACGCTGACTTGAAACCAGCTCCTAAGAGGAAAAATAAACCATTACAACAAACCACTAGTCCTACTTCCTATGCCTGCATTACACTGTTAGTTATAACCAAAGCCAGGTCCTTAAAACAGTGTAAATTAGATTAGTAAATTCCTATAATCTTAGTATTACCCAAAGCACTAAATATTCAATCTTTAGTAAAATGCTAATTTCCCATCACTACAGAAACAATAGGTTCTACTGTACCAGAGCAGAAGTCTGGAGGCCGTGGCATTCCAGCTGTTTGGGGAAGACAAGGGAGAGGCCTGAGGGAGGGGCAGCTATCCCTGCTCCCAGCTCTTTCAGCTTCAATCCTGTAGGGTTTCTGAAAGCCTTAGGACGTGGCCTTCCATCTGGCTGAGGGGAAGTGATCTTAGGTTAAATGAGCCACTGCTCAACTCAGGATTCCTCATAAGGTTTTATCATCCTAAATGTTGAATATTTCAGCAAAATAGAAAAAGCAGATTGAAGTGAAAGAATGAGCCCCCTTAGGTGTAGACTACACCCTTAGGTGTGGGCAGCTACGTGATTAAAGATACCAACTTTCACCAACTTGCATATGAATTCTACCCCTGAAAACAAGGATTTATTTTAAAATTCTTTCTGATTCTATAAAATGAGGGGGAGATATTTAGTAGTCTTTGTTAAAAACCTGAATCCAGAGTTTTTCATAAAGAAAAAACAAAACAACAACAAAACCCAGCTCAGGATGCCTGCACAGACATTTCTGAAGCGCAGGCCTCGTGTGCAGGCTGCCACTGTTGTCTCCAGGCCTCTTGCCTGCTCGCAAGGCTCATGGTTTGTATCCCCATTTTTACAAATGGAGAAAATGAGACTCCTGTGGGCTTTTTTGAAATACCACACCTACTTTTCAAACGAGGCCACTTATGGCCAAAAGTATAGACAACTACCAAATGTAAAATGAATGATATGAGGGAAAACAAGAGCCAATACATTGCCTACTTTGGAAAGTTAAGCCCTGATTTCTTAAATTACCTATACTGTAATGTTCAAGACAAGATACTACTGCTAAATCAAAGTTTAGTTTGACAGAAAACTTTTAAAAAATATTTTAAAGTACCTTTAAGATTAGTGTAAATAGTTAATGTGAAACTTTGAAAATCCGAGCACAACAGGCATTTGGAATGTGTTACTACACTAATAAAAATTCAAGCCACCACTTATTTGCAGTAATGACAGAACAGTTGTTATATCTAAAGGTTATGTATCGATAAACAAGGGGGGGGGGACCCCCAGCAACTAGGCTTAGATATTCCCTGTGATATCCTACAAGTAACACCAGGTGGCATAAGCTGGCTAATTCTGACCTAGGGCAAAAGGGAAGGAACTACATCCCACCTTGCAAACCAGGCCAAACACGGAGATTTGTGGAGCACTATTCAGCATCTGTATTTTCTCCTTTCCATCATTCCCTGGCAAAATCCTCAATCCTACTTTTCATCTCCTGAGCACACTGCAGTTCACTTAGTTCTCTGCAGTGTTCACTTTGTTCTGACCCCAGCATTCCCAGATTTTATACCCAACGATGTCTGCAACTTGAGACTACAGCAATACAAAAACTGAAAAGCCAGGTCTTTCACCTATCAAGCCACAAAATGCTCTGAGCATAAACATCCCCAATTCCAAGAAGAGAATTCATCAGAGCAACTACGCACTATGTGTACTGGTTGTTGACCACCGATACAAAACAAGCTTCCCAATGATGGGCCCGAGGCCCTGCAACCTCCGCATGCATCTATCCCACTAAGGGTTTGATGCAGCAGCTCTAGTGTCCTTGTTGTCAAGGTCTCCACGCATGCTACCTAAAAAACTATCAGGCCGCCAAAGGGAAGTGTCACCAACGGTGCCCAGGAGCAATCACCTCAAAAGACAACTACAAGGATTATACTTGTTTATATCATCGTTGCTGTTGAAAGCTTGTTTCTGAAAATTCCAACTTAATCAGTCAGGCTAGGTTGAATACTGTGCTTCAGGTCTAATCCAATGGCAAATGTTAGTAATAACAGAAAAAGTTAAACCTTACACAGAATATTAAGAAGAAAAGAGCCCAATTAAACCCATTTAACTTACCTGGGAAAATAATATAATCACAAAGCACCTAAATATTAGCAACGTGCCACCCATTTAGAATCACACCTATTCAGGATAGCTTTGCCACAACAAATACTTTGAGATAAATCTATACAGTACCTAATGCCCCTGAGCCAGAATACCTAGAAATCTAAGATTACTAAGAGAAATAAAGGAAAAACACCTAAAAGGGTAATCTATATTAGAAATACAGCCCATCAGCTTGGGCAATAAGTTTGTATTTAATGAGATATTTAACAGAATAGCATAAATAGAAAAACATTACGCAGCTTTTCCTTAGTTTTGAAAAGAATGAAGTTGGCAAAGTTTCATAATCTTTTCTAGCCATCTGAATGAAACCACAAAAACTGGACTTGGTTGCCATGGAATTCTATTTTGGAGGAGGTCCTAGAAGGAACTTTTGTATTTCTTTATAACTCCCAAGTCCAAGTTGGAACAAGGAAAGAAATTCTTGAAATATGAGCCGAAAAAAATTTTCAAGAGAAAAAAGAATGCAACCTGGACATAAGAGGGCGGCGGCCAACTGCAGCCTCACGGGGCACACCTCCTGTCTGTGTGTTTCCTCTCTCTGACTATGACTGTCAGTCCCTGGTAAGCTTTTTGCCACACCCTTCTGCAGAAAAGAAGTCTCTACATTGTTAAGGTATTCATTTAGGGATGAAAGATGTTAAGAGAATACAAATTCTGTTTACATTAACCTAATAAAGGCATTTTGGTTACTTTCAGGAAAGAAGGAAAGTAGGAGTGAGTAAGGAGCAGTGAGGGTCTTGCAGAAACACAAACATAAGCAAAGGACTGTGGTCTTCTCGGCTTTCCTGGTTTGGGTTAACATCAAGTTTTGAAAATTGTACTTAACTGTAAGGTGGGGGCGGGGGAGTGAACTGAGGTAGAAGAGAAAATTCTGCAAATCTCAAGACAGAAGACTTATTAGGGAAGCAGCTGCCTGCCGAGAGCAGGATGTGTTCACTGGCAGAACCAGAGGGGAACCAGGGTGTCACATTCACTAGATCTTCAGGCTGCAAAGTCAAATCTTTACTAACAGCAGAAAATCAGTGGGAAAATTACTTTTACTAGATTGGAAAGGACATACTAAAGATAGCTCTCTAGAGAACTAGAGAAAAGTTCTACAAGATAACTGATTGAAAGAAAAGCACCCCAAATTATTCCAATCTAACTAAATATTTTTGACAAGGGAAAGAAAGCAAGGCAGTGTCTTTTTAAACTGCAATTTCAAAAAGTCTGTTAAGAGTAAGCACAACTTAAAAACAAAGCGTGTTGTTTTTAATATCCCATATATGAAAAGAATAGTGAAGGCCTTCCTCCCCACCACCACCCCATTAATTGAGGAGCTTTAGAGAAAGAACCTATAAAAAAAGGCACATCAATAAAGCTAGGAGAGCTGGTAGTGAGGAAAACATGCATCAGGAGACATACACTGGACACCAGGGGTGAGCACTAGTAGAGAAATGGAATGGAACACTTACACAGCAGCTATTGGCCAAAGGGTCCTGACGGCTACTGTGCTCTTAAACCATCGAGACAGAATAGCACGATGGGAAGAATGTAGTCACAAACAATCCACCAGATGACAACACTACACAGTGCAGAGGTCAGCACAGCTAGGGAACATCTGGAAAGGGGTGAAGGGGAAAGAACAGATGTTCAAACTGGAAGCCAAAATAAATAAAATAATAAATAAATAAAGCCATGTGTAAATGTTAGACACCTTGTGATGATGCAAAGGGGTTGGAAACAAGAATGAAGTCTTGCCATTTTTTTTGTTAGCAAAAACATGCCATCTCCAGTATTAAAATGACTTGATATTTGGTAACAAAAGAGGAGACCCAATCTCTAGTTTGGTAACTGCTCCCATGTTAATTTAATTGTATAATACAGAAATCAGAGTTGTTGTTCTATAACAAAAACAAATTCTTCAAAAAGCACAAGATATGCATGCACAGAAAACTGAACCAAACCAGAGAGAAAAAGGAGGCAAAACCGACCAAACAAAAAAGGCCCTGGACTGATAACTAACAACCACTCCCTAGGAGGCACAGTCAGGAGCGGGCACAGTCAGGAGCGGACACAGCACAGCAGGACTGATCTCACTTTCATGGAGCCATAAACTGTATCATCTAAGAGTTTAGGCAAATTGCACATTCTGAAACAAGGATTACAGAAATACAGCCAACTCCTGACAACACAAAATAAAGAAAATTTCCCTTATGTATTAATATAGTAAGTCCTCATTTATCATTGATGGTTCTGCAACTTTATGCAAAACAATATATAACAAAACCAATTTTATCATAGACAATGAGATTAACAAAAGTTAATTCCCTACGGCATCTCATCAGTGTTGTTAACAAAACATTATTCGAGGGCCTGCTGTACTATATGTATTTCTTCAGTTGTTCTCCTCACTCATTCTCCTCAGGCAACCAAATATAGCTTTCAGCTTGGTGTTTTCTAATCCACTAGTCTGGCTTCTAGCAGTAAGACAGGAACCCTCCTCACAGTCGGAAGTGTGGTAATTCCTTCCAACTACTACATTTCCAAACGGTCATCCAGACACATCTGTGACCAAGCGTGGAAAGCTCTAGAGTGAATGATCTGGCTTACTATGCCATCTGTATTACTGTCCTAGTCATCTTAACCCTTGAACACTATGTGCCAAGTACAGGCATCCTATATGGGCATGAAATGAAATCTAACCCACACTTTCACTTACTCCTGCCATTAAAAAAACAAATCAAATCTACTATATGTTAGGATTACGAAGGCTTAATATTTACAGAGAATGTAATAAATGACCTTGGAACAGTACAGAACTCTCTACCCATCCCAATTTAACAGCTATCTTAAAGGCAGAATGGCCAGAATATCAGGATGTCTACATCATAGATTTTTATTTGTTCCTCTAGTAAAGCTCACGGCATAGAAATTATTTTCCAATGATGAAAACACACCCACCTACAGCGTAACGTTAAGGAGGATTCAAGACTTGTCAATTTTATCTATATTTTCACATATTCCCATGTAGGATACACTTCCACTTTCATGGAGCATTTCCTTTAACTATAACAACCTTGCAGAAATGATCAGTGTGCAGAAAGACAGCAGCACAGATGAAGTTATAAAATCTACCCAATCTGTCTGAGCATAGACCATAATACGCTTGCAATCACCCCTGACGAGCAAGCACTTCAAGGTCATGGTGCTCAGACGGAATGTACTGCTTCCACGGGACTCAGATCAGACAGGATTTCTGGAAAAAAAAAAATGGCTACCGTACAATTTTTAATGACTCACTTTCCCCAAATATTGACTATAAAATAGAAGCCAGTAACTGGAATGATATTTTATTACTATAACCTTCTCTTAAGAATCACCAGTACTTAACATATTTTTCACTAACTTTCCTTATTGCAAGTAATTTTACTCAGACCTAAGTACCAACACAGAAGAAAAATAATTTGCCTGCAGTAACAGACGAGTCCAAGTCAGGAGGCAGGAACTGAATTTAGATTTCTCAACCTAAACTACTGCTGGAAACGGCTCTCGGGGGACTTTTGTTTCTAAAATAACAACAAAGACGTGGGAGGGAAAGAAAATCTCCCATTGACCTCCTTTCCTAGGGCCCAAAGAGCTACAAATAAGAGCAAAACAGAGATGATTGTAATAGCAAAGAGGATTTCGAAAAGCAGAGAGGATAAGCAAAGTGCTGCAAAGGAAGAAGGGAAATGTGCTGAGCCTGATCTAAAAATCCCCAGGGTCTGCACACACCGTTAAGAGCTCTGAAGATCATCAGCATTCTGCCTTTTCCTTTCAAAGCATGGCTTACAAATTTGTTAACTCTGTGTATGGAAGGAGGACAGTTTGGGGATTAGTCTATCATGTTTAGGATTACAATTAAAAGGGGTGCTGAAATGGTTCCTTTTTAATAACATTAAAAAAAAACCTTTTACTATAATATTTTACTTAGCTCTAATTTATGTCAAGAGTGCTTCAAAGCAAAGGGCCAGGGCCCTTCATTTTTTTAGGGGTAAGGAGGAGTCTAACTACACAACTGAACAAGCGACCACCACCCCCGCCCGGCCTTTGACAGCGACTTGCACTCAGCCTTCACTGAACACCTTCAACTCTCATCCCGGGAACCTCGAACACCAAAGTGAATGTAACAGCATCTACTGTCACCTTCTAGTTTCGAACAATATTTAGAACTGTAGTCTTCCTTTGTTGTTCTCTTTTGTATTACCACAAACTTATCAGCTACAAGAGAGACATTTATAGCCTCAACTCTTCTAGAAAACAGCATTGAGTGATTTGGACTCTAGAAAACATATTCATAAAGAGGCAGACTCAGCAACAAGAAAATTTCTTAAAAACCTTATTTAACAAAAGCTTTTGACTAAGCAGAATTCCTATCTCCTGACTCTCAACTTGACTTTTGAACAGAAGGCAATAAACTGTTGAGAAATAAACTTGATGGTGCAGATTCTTAAAACAAAACAAAAAACCTGGGCACAATGAAAAAGTAACCCACAAAATCATCCACTTTCTAGGGTTTACTAAGTGTGGTCCCTACCAGCAGCGTCTGCAACACCTGGAAGCAGGCTATACCTCAGACCCACTGACCTCAACCTGCTCTTCAACAAGCTCACCCACGAGACTCAAACATGGACTGCAATCTGAGAAGCTCTGCTTTGTGAACTGCCTGTCTCCTCCCTCATGTCTAAAACTGGCTTCAGAATAATTATATGGAGGGACTATAATGTTTCTAAGTAAAGATAATCATTAAGGCTTTAAATATACTTAAAATTTTTTAAATTTATTTTTAGACTGAAGAGAAGGGAGGGAGAAAGAGAGGGAGAGAAACATCAGCGTGTGGTTGCCTCTCACACACCCCCAACTGCGGACCCGCCCTGCAACCCAGGCATGTGCCCTGATTGGGAATCGAACCAGCGACCCTTTGGTTCGAAGGACGGCACTCAATCCACTGAGCCACACCAGCTAGGGCTAAATACACATTTTTGATGAAATTAAAAACAAAACTGCACTTGGGAGTTAAATAAGTTACATAAAGTGCACCAGTGTTAAAGCATTCTAGCTGATGGAAGCACCACTGCAAAGATAATGCTTAATTAACACCTATCAGCAATACCAATGCCTTTCATTCACATGGCACTTTATGTTGGAAAACTTGATTCTTTTCTTTGGATCTTTTAAGAACCTCCCAAGGCATAGGCCCACAACAACACATGCCTCAGGTGTGATTCTACTTTAGGACTTAAGATTATGAGGAGATACTGGTAAAGAAAACACTTTTAATTAAAAAGGCTTGCTCTCATCTGTCATGAATGTTTACTATGTCATTAGTTCCTGTAATATGGTCCTTACCATATTACAAGATGGTTACTGAATAAATGCCCTGTCTCCATCACAAAAAAATGGGAGGAGGCTGGAAATCTGATATTCCATAATGATAAGGGAGGTTAATGGAAGGAAGAAATCCAGTGTCAAAGGTGGGAGCATCTACTGAAGAATACCCTAGGAAAACAGTACGATGGTCAAGTTTGATTCTACATTTTAACAGTATTGGATGTTCCATGGGCTTGAATCCAAACTACCACTTGCACAAGGCAAGTACAAGTGGACAAACACACCCTCACTGACTACAAAACTTCCTATCCCCATGCTAAACCTTCTTCTGAAACTTCCAAGTAATTCCTCAAACAAAAAATTCATACAAAAATATAGTCTAATCTTTTGTTGCCCTCAAGTAATATAATGACATTAAGCCACCATGTCACTACTGATTGAATTCGACCATGTTAAGAGAAATTACCTGCAACACAGTAAGGGATTTAGAGAAATTCACAATTTTAAGTAATTACGGACATATCTATTGTTTTGCAGTTTACATCTGGTGTCCACGCTTATGAGAATGCCACACAGAGGTTACACCTGGAGAAAGGGCAGCCCTAACACTGCTCTCCTATACACAGGCTAGTGTGCCTAGGACAGAACAACAAAGATAAAGGATAGCCAGGAGCTTCTCAGGCAACACCCCTTGATTTAAAATGACAGTAGTCATTTCTAAGTGGCATGATGGACATGAGGCTGTGGGGAAAAATGTGCAGGACAACATGCTCACATAGGACCTTATGCACAGACTAAACAATATCGCCCACACAAAGGAGACCAAACTCACGTGAGGGGAACAGCGTTTGCTTTTGATTGTCTTCTGCTTTTCAGGGCCCGAAGTCTATCACCTTGTGTCACTCCATTCACTTCATCGTCATCACTGTACTGTGCAAGTAGAAGAATACTGAGCTAATGATTTAAGTTGCCGTTATCAATGCAGTAAAACACAGCATTGACATTTATCCACAGAACACACGCAAATGTACACTTCAACTTTCGGATGAACTCTAAAATATTTTGTTGCTTTCACAATAAAGCTACAGGTCACATTTTGAGACAACTGAACACGTTAACTTTCAGACCTGGAACCCAATAGCACTCTTGTTATAAAATGTATAGACAGTAAAGAGGTATAGTGGGTTTTCAACATTGAAAACATTCTTTTTTTTTAAATTTCACCATCTACTTACCACCACCTAATAATAGTATAGCTACTCCCTAAACTCTTGGTCCCTAAAGTTCTCCATTTGAGAACGACTGGTTCCCTAAATCAGCTGTCATGAAATAGGAAAAGGTGTTAGGAAGGGAGGGGGTGTCACTAGGTCCATTGAAAGAGCTTACTTCACATACCTCTCCTGCCAGTGACTAGTGAACAAAAAAGAACTTCAGTTTAACAGGCATATAAACTTGTTCTAACTATTTTGAGTAAAAGTTCCAAGAGAGGCTATAAGTATAAAAAAATGTGTGACAATAATCCCTCAAAATGTACTTTATTACTTTTATCTCCAGTTTCCTCCATGCCCTACAGGATTCTCAACAGCATTTAAAGCAATGACAACAGAGTGATGGGGACGGTGCAATTACCAGTTCAGGCTCTTGCTTGTCTTGATTCTCGACACCATTGATTGAAATATCATCAACAGCCAAGAGGAGTTTTGAGACAGCTGCTTTATGTTTTCCATTCTCCTGACCCCTTAACTTTTGACGAAAATAGTCACCTTCCAACCAGAGGCTTGGCTGTTTCCTGTTAGAGCATTTAAATAACATCAAAATACACCTTGCCAGAAAGATACAAACACCCTTCTCTTACTAGACTATCTGTTGTTACTGGAGACTAAGAAAAACTACTTCCAACCATTTTCCAGACCCAAGCGTTCTCTGAGGAATTACAAAAGCTCTCCACCTACTCACATCACCAAAAATTGTTGCTGAGGCCCGATCACTGAGCCAGGCCTACAGATCCTGATCCAAGCGATGGTCTCGGCCGCAGTCATCCTGTAATGCTTCATGATATAGCAGGCTATCAGAGTACCCGTTCGCCCAAGGCCAGCTAGGAAAAGAAACAATCCAGTGAGACCTGGTCTCCTGTCCTCCAGAATTATGTTGGAGGGGTAGAATTTTTTCAAAAGGCTTACCATGATCCTGCTTACCTTACCAGTGGTTCTCAAATTTGGATGCATACTGCAATCACTTGTAGAATTTAAAAAAAAATATGGTCTCACCTCCAGAATTCTGATTTAATTGGTATGCAATGCAGCCTGGACAGAGAGTTCTAAAATCCCCCAGATGATTCTAGGCATTGCCAAGACTGAAAGTCACCTTATAAGTGACGATTTCCAGTTAAATGCAGTGTTTTCTACTCTGGGTTTACTATTAATGGTAAAATCATGTTTCCAAAAACATAGGCTTAAAATCTTGCAAAACTTTCCCTTCATCCAACAGTTTTTTCTACTCTACTTTTCTACTCATTTTCACACGCAGTTTTTGTTTTCACTCTATTCCTGCTACCTTCCTTTGCTCTCACCTAAACTACTATCATTACTTCCTGTGTTGCTCACTTTATGTGTCAACCTGGCAGGTGTATTAGAGTGGACTTTTGAGTAAATATATTACCACCCATGTGGGTGGGCCTCATTTAACCTGATGAAGGTCTAAACAGAACAAAAAGACCACCCCCCCCAAACCAGAAAGAATTCTCCAGCAGATGGCCTTCAGACTTCAGTGGCACCACTGGCTCTTTTGGGTCTGCACCCTGCCAGCCCACACTGCCCATTTTGTACTCACCAGCCTTCATATTTGTGTGAGTCAATTCCTTATAATATTGTTCTATATATAATACACATCCTATTGGTTCTGTTTCTCTGGAAAACCCTCACCAATATAGATTTTGGTACCATAACTGTAACAATACACAAAAATGCACAAGTGGCTTTGGAATTGGAATCGTAAAAGCTGCAAGAGTTTTAAGGCTCGTGTAAGAAAAAAACCCTAGATTGCTTTGAAGAAACTGTTGGCAGGAATACGGACGTTAAGCACTGATTCTGCAGCAGACACAGGCAGAACTGAAGGACATATTATTGGAAACTAGAAGAAGGTGATCTGTTAGAAAGCAGCAAAAAGCCTGGCTGAATTGCGTACTTGTGCTTGGTGGAAAACAGTTTGTGAGAGACGACCGTGGACATTTAGCAAAGGAGGTCTGTAAGCAAAGTGCTGAAGGTGCAGCCTGGATTCTTCTTACTGACACAGTAAAATATGAGATGAAATGAACTGAAGAGGAGATTTTTAACCAAAAAGGAATCAGAAACTAAACATTTAAAAAATTCTAGGCCTATCCATGTTGCAAAAGGTAAGGAAGCATGTTCTGAAGACAATACCAAGGGTATGATTGAACAAGTGATTCTATAAAGATATTACCCATGGATTTAAAAATGACCAGAAGCCAAAAACAGTGATGGGATTGCCCCACCAGATGTGGTCAGTTTGGACTAAAAAGGGACAGCCACAGGATGAAATAAAGGAGGGCTTTCAGATTTCTGGGCGAAAGGACTAGATGAGAGATCTCTGGCTACAAACATGTCTCATCCTTCAAGAAAGCGGATGCATGACCCTGCAAGTGACACAGAGACTGGCAAAGGCCACGCTGCCACCACAAGCACAGGCGCCTGGGGCACAGCTGTGTCTGCTCCTCGGTTTCCTGGGATGAGGCTGCCTGTGGTTTCAGTGGACCAGGCTACCTCGGTCTGTGGCTCAGGGACAAGGCTGCTGCCTGGGGACAAGGCCACTGCCTGGGGCCAAGGAGATGGCACTGCCTCCCCTGCAGGCCTGCAGAACAGATAATGGAGCCAAAGGGCACAATTCTTGATCCTGAAGATTTCATGGCATTTACCTTGCTAGGCTGGACTTGCTCGGGACCTGACACCACTTCCTTGTTTCTAACTCCTCCCATTTGAAGAAGGAGTGTATATCCTCTGCCTGTCCTACCACTGTATTTTGGAAGCGCACAGTTTGTCTGCTTTCACAGTTTCAAAGCTGGAGAGGAATTCTGCCTCAGGACTCACAGTACCTGAAGTGTCTGTCACCCATACCTGATTTAGATGACATGTAGATGGACTTTCAACTTGGAACTGACGCTGGAGTGGGTTAAGAATTTGGGGGCTGTTGGGATGGGGTTAAAAAAAAGTATGGGGTGGGACAAAAGTAGGTCTGGAGTTGTGAGTACATGAAATAGAGTTTATTTTTGTAATATTATTTATTCGTTATTGTATTACTTTCCATATGACAACTGCAAACTATTTTTGCCCTACCTGGCATTTCACATGTGAGGACATGAATACTGGGTGGCCAGAGAACAGAATGTTATGGACCGAATGATATGTCCTCAAACCCATATGTTGAAGTCATGTCTCCCAACATGAGTCTCTCTGGAAAAAGGACTTCACGAAGGTAATTAAAGTTGAATAACGTCATGGAGGGTACTTAACGCAATAAAATTAGTGTTCTTACAAGAAGAGGAAAAGACAGGGATGAGTGTACCCAGAAGACAAAGAGAAGGTGGCTGTCAACAAGCCAGGAAGAGGCTCTCCAGGAACCTACCCCATCAGCACTTCATTCTTGGATTTCTAGCCTACAAAGCTCTGAGAAAATTCGTTTCTGTTGTTTGAAACACACAGTCTGTGGTCTTCTGCTTTGTACCCCAAGCAAATACACTTCCTAATGAAAATCAGTGTTCACTTGGTAACCCAGTCTTCACACTGTCATCAGTTTTCTTCCCAAAACAAGTATCTAATGCCATTCAAACTGCAACTTAGCTATATGCCCTAGCTAATGGAATTGAACCTGAAACATGTGGGTACACAGGATGACGCTCCAACTAACTGAGCCTCCTGGCTAGGACGACTCTCTTTTATTTTTTTAGGCCATTCTTCCAATATCACCTTCTGATCAGAGTTTACAGCTTAAGTAACAGTAATATTAGTCTTTATAATTATCCAATGTATTTACTTACCAGAGATCTTTATTTTCTCATAAAGCTTCGAGTGACTAGCTACTGTCCTTTCATTCAGCCTTTAGCATTTCTTGCAGGGCAGGCCCAGTGGTAGCAAATTCCCTCACCTTTCAGTTATCTGGGAATGTCTTTTAACCCCATTTTTTAGGAAAAGTTTAGCCAGGTGCATAATTTGTGGTTGACACTTTTTTTATTCAACACTTTGAATATATCAATTAACTGCCTTCTGACCTCTAAGGTTTCCAATGGCAAATCTACTGACAATCTTCCTTGAGTCCCTTTGTATGTAATAAATTGATCATCTCTTACTGCTTTCAAGGTTATCTTTTGTCTCTGACTTCAGATTGATTGATTATAATGCATCTGGGTGTGGGTCTCCCAGTTTATCCTGCTTGGAGTTCACCAAGTTACATAGATGTTCACATTCATGTCTTTCCTCAAATTTGGGAACTTTCAGCAATTATTTCTTCAAATAAACTTTCTGCTCCTTCCTCTCACTTTGCCCTTTGGGACTCCCACAATCCACAGATTGGTCCTCTTCATGATATTCAAGGTACCTTTTCACTTTTCAATCTTTTTTCTTTCAATTCTTCAGACTTGACCATTTCAATTGTTGTATCGTCAAGTTTGCTGATTCTTTCTTCTGCCTGCTTGTGTCTGCTTCTGAATCTCACTGGTGAATTTTTCCTTTGAGTCACCATACATTTCAGTTTCAGAGTTTCTTTTTGGGTCCTTTTAGTTTACTATCACTATGTTGATGTTTCCATTTTGCTCATTGTTCTCTTGATTTGTTCACATTTTCTTTTAGTTCTTTGAGCACCCTGAGACAGCTGTTTTACCATCTTTGTCTAGTAAATGCACCATTTGGTTTTTCTCAGGGACAGTTTCTGTTCATTCATTTTTTCCCCCTTTGAATGAGTTATATTTTCCTATTTCTTTGAGTATCTTGTGATTTCTTTTTTTTTGGAGAAAGCTGGACATTTAAATCTTATAATGCAGCAATTTCAAGGGAGTGTACCCCAAGAATTTTTAGAACATAAAATAGACCTGACTATTTAGTCAGGGACACTGACCTTTCTTCCCTTGGATCGAGAAAGAAAGAAAAGAAAGAAAAGAAAGAAAAGAAAGAAAAAAGAAAGAAAAGAAAGAAAGAAAGAGAGGTGGGAGGAGAGAGAGAGACACAACAGCCCCAACACAGCAATAGCTGTCTGGTATGAATGAATCAAAATTATACCTATTTTTGGTCAGATCAGCAAAAAATATATATTGTTTTGATGTGCCACAGAATTTTAGTAGTTTATGTAAGCCATGAGATGAAAAAGGTTGAAAACTGTTATAATGTCTTAACTCTACAGATCAAATTTTAGCTATTCCCCAGATTTGCTGGGTTTTTGCTCCTAAGTTGGATTTTTCTTAACATAGGGAAAATATATTCCTTGTCTTTAGAATCAACTATCTAAGAAGAGAAGCAAAGTTAGATAAATCCTCATGCATTCTTATAATGTATTAAATGCTGGGCACTGTTCTAGTGGCTAAAAATAGCAATTTGTTAAAACATAAACTCCACAAAGACTAGCTCTTAAACTCTGCTTTGTTCATCGACATATCTTAGAACCTACCAAACAGTAGGCATTGAGTAACTACTTGATGAATAAATGAATACACTCCAATGTGATAAGCTTTCATAGTTACCTGTAAACAAATGCAATGTAATTTACTATACTTTTCATATGAAATTAGGGTTTTAAAAGCATTCTTTGTATGTACAGCTTTTTTATGTCAATCACACCACAATAAGGAGGTTTTAAGAAAAAAAGTAATTTACAATAGATAAAAAAGACACTCTGTAAAAACAAAGGCATCATGTGTCCTGGCATATAATCTAAACGAGTATGGTGTTTCTACACATATATACACACATGTCTACCATTCTTTTTCTCCTTAATACTCACCTGAGAATATGTTTATTGATTTTAGACAGACAGGGAGAAGGAGACAGGGAGAGAGGTTGGGGGAGGACAGAGAGAAACATTGATTGGTTGCTTCCCTTACATGTCCCAACTGGGGATCGAAAACCTAGCTACGTACCCTGACCAGAAATTGAACCCACAACCTTTTCGTGTATGAGACGATGTTTCAATCAACTGAGCCACCCGGCTAGAGCTGTCCACCATTCTTTAACCAATCCTAGAAACATACCTTTACAATGTACTGCAATGGCACCCTCGGCACTTTCACAAATATCCAGAAATTCTTTGACAATCGCATCAGTAGGGGTGCTGCCATCCGCAAAGAATAGATCATAGTGATCGAAACCAGCATTTGTAAAGTGTTTGGCATTATACATCCTTTTATTCAGACGAATAATGGTAGTAACGCTGTGATTCTTGAAATAGGGAATGTAAGACTCTGGAGAATGTTGGTGATAACCTACACAAAGAAATTACCAAATATTCTAAAATGCAGAAAGAAAATAATGGATAACAACTTCACCTGTAATTGTGTGGAAACAGTGTCTAGACTGGGGATTGGATACCAATTTGATTATAACTGTAAAAAGATAAGTTAAAAAAGTTAAAATCCAGGCAGAATAATGTACTGAAGTGATCATGTACACTTAAATAATTAAGACCATCAAGCTTAATTTAACTCTTAGGCCTTTTGGAAGGGAGGGGAGGGACACAGGATGGATACTTTCAATAATAAAACTAGACTGATCCCATATTTTTGCATACCACTTTCAAGTCTGGTTCTTGAATGAGGTCCACAGAAGGCAATAAATCGGCCTGGTATTATCCAATTTAAATCTCCATTTTCTGCTTTCTGCAAAGGGAAGACCAGCACAAATCATTTTTATTCTTACTCTTCTTTCCACATCTCTTTTCAATTCAGAGTATCTACAGAACTTCAAATCCACTTGCTGTAGTATGAAAGCTATCTATAAATGACCATGAGACAGGAAGCTAAAATTTAGCCTGGTATGAATATTCCCAGGGAAAAGTTAGTTCACTTCTCCTGGTCCTAATCATTGTCTTCTACAAGTGTTTCTTTGCTGGGATACTCAGTCTTTGGAAAACAGAGCCAACTGTTGCTGTCCCAAATATACCTACGTGCTTTGGTTATTTTATCCAAGTAAATTCTCATACAGCTGCTGCTAATTAATAAAAAGCAAACTTTTCCATGACCTGGAAACTTCCTCCAATACAAGCAATCTTAACTCAAAGGAGAAAAAATTATCTAATTACACTCCTGGCCTCTGAATATTTACTTTCCATTTGTAGAAAGACATCTTTCCATCTTGCTAGCCATTTAATAAGATGGTCACAGAAAAATTTTCACTAAACCACCAGGAAATTTGAAATTATAAATATAATGAGATCACAGTAGGTGTCTAGAAAATAAACTGAAATTTAAAACACTTTACTTCCTCTTATTAAGTCCTTTGGATTAAACTACCATAATAATTATTATAAGATAATACAGTTCAAATTAAATAGAAATAGTTACACAAAGACTTGAGCAGGAAGTAGGAGGCTCTTGATGGTCAAGAAGAGAGCTAATGATGAAAATAAGATCAATTAGCTTTGCAAATGTGGTATGCACTTGTGTACCTGAGAACAAGCAGGAAATAAACCAAGGGCTGCTTGGTCTCAGACCAGGCAGGTAACCAAAACCAATTTACTTCCTTGTCATGGAAAACTGGTGAGTCCCTGGTCCATGCTAAAATGTCTAACAGGGAATGAGGATATGTGTTGCCAGGTGTTCTGATTGTGGAAGTGAAACCAGAAACCTGAAGTTTTAAACAAGAAACCTGAAGTTAGCCTTCATTGAATTGCAGGTGCATCCTGAATTCTGAGACATTAACATGGGGGAGCGGGGGGGAATGGGCACCATGGAATCAATGAAACACTAATACAAAATTTCTAAATACACTGTGGAGACTAAATACCAGTCTGTGAGCTACCCGCGTCTGCAGCCCCCTAAACACTGCCCTGTGTTTCAATGCAATTTCCCTGCAAGTAAACAACACTTGTGGGTGATGCTGCTACTTCTGCCCACACTGAAATTTCTGCATTAGTGAGAGAGAAGCTCAGGGTAGTGCAGGCATCACTCCTTAGTAACACAGAGGCACCACTGTGCATCTCCTGAAGGGACATGAAGTGGTGTTTTTAGCAGTTTTGCCTACATAAAAAAGAAAGTATATTTTATTTTAAATATTTAATTTCATAAGGGCAAGCACAAAAAAATGGTGTTAATTAAGTATCAGCCAATATGGTGATTAAATACATACTGTACTTTAGAAATGTATTGCTATTACAGGAAAGTAAAGGTAGAGTGATAGGGTGTGCCCTAATGAGTCACATTATATGGCTGACCTTTCTGGTGCATCACAGTAATGATTAATTGTAACTATTAACCCTACTCATCAATAAAATAGTTCAGTTATGCCTAAGAGTTTAAAATAGAAATTAACTATGAAAGAACAGATACATGAGGATTCAAGATACTGCTGCATAACGTGCTGCCTGTGAAATCCCTCTAGTGTTAGTGAGGATGCCCGCTCAAGAAAACCGTAGTAAGATAAAAAGGTAAGATTCCACGAGTATTCTTGGCCACACAAGACCTTTAGCATAAGCATCTAATTCTTTATCTATTTGAAGGGTGGAATAAATGGTAGAATCAAATTACCTTTCTTAAAAAACAAAACAAACAAAAATAAATAACCACTGTGTTAAAAAGTGTCAAGGACATCTGTAGTTTTCCCTGCCTACACTCTCTTCTTTATTGGTTTGTGTGGCTTGGTAGGGTGACCCCAACACCCTAGCTCCTGGGATGACCAGTGTATTCTACACCCATCTACACGCCTGTCTCCCATCCCTGCTAGAAACATGCCTACTTAAGTGTGAGTCATATATCTAAGCCAGGACAATGAGAGGACTTGTGGATCTTCCACTGGAGCCATGAACACTGTTTTCTGGTGAGTTTGCCAAACAAGTGACTCAAAGTTGCTGGTAGTTATCTTCTGCATTACTGAGGGCTGACCTGGGGCAAGGCTAGCTTCAGCCCAGCGTCTGGTAAGTGTGTAAGTACCCAATCTGGTCATGTGTGATAGTATACCTGATCCTGGCCTTTTTACTAATGGAAATCAATAAATCTTCCCTTGTATTTAAGCCATATATGTTTACTTCCTGTAATTTGCAATCAGAAGTGTCCTGACTTCATACAAATGGTTATGATAAAAACATTTTCCAGCGGTTAATTAGATGACTAGTTTATTCATGTCATCAGAGTCTATGCTAAGGGGTTTACAAACATTATCTCATTTAAGCACTACATGAAAAGTCATCAATACTAAAACGATGTGAACTAAACGTGAAAGGAAAGAGCCCAGGAGCACACTCATTCACAGGGGAAGGCTGTATCAGACACAGACATCCCCACTGACAACAGGGACTGCAATAAGAAGATAAAGACTGGATTTTTTTTTTACTCTATGCACATCTAAATTGTTCAATATTTTTAAAAACAACAATACTTCTGTAAGTAAAACAAACAAAAGAATTAAAAACAATATCCTTGAAAACTTACTTCATAGTATTCATATTCATCAAGGTTGAAAGAGTTGAAGTTAAAGAAGCCATACTGCATTGCCTAAAATCCAAAGGAAAGCTTTTAAGAACAAAGATGCAAGTAAGGAAACAATTTCCCACCCAATTTCCTAACATCAGGAGGCACCCCTGAAAGAGCATTATAATATTCAGATTACATTTCATGAATAGTTTTCAAAAGAGGTGAGATAAGACATATCTTTTAAAGGTGTCCATTATCTGGAAAATAAGTCATAACAACATTTCTTTTAATAAAAGTTGGTGTTTTATTTTCCTTCGCAATCATCCTAGCTGTGTAGAGCTAAATAATCAAGCCTTCAAAGTAATCCCACTAATTTGCTAGATCAACACCACTCAGGCTTCAAATATAATGCACAAACTCAATGGCCCCTCAACAGGTAATAGGGAAAAGAGAAGATTAGTTTATCCTAGACAATAATCCCACAAAGTTCATAAATCTTTTCACTTTCAAATTCTTCTTAGATTAAAAGATTAATAATGTTCCCTCTACTAAAGACAGCCCAGAAGTCAACACTAAAATTAAAAAATTTGCGAAATTTCTTCTTTCAATAAGAAGAAAACATGTAAGTTTTCTCTTCCGAGCTGCAGTGAGCAGAGCATGCTAAGTAGAATAAGCAGAGGATCTACTTCTGAAACAAGGATGAGCCGGTGGCCTCTGAGTATTCTCTGAGCCAGACAGTAAGTTATAGCTGTCAGGCAACAAAGTAACCATTATTAACTGCTGTCACTGCAATAAACGGAAAAACAAAAGAAAAAATAGGTAATCTTGGCTCAAACGCGGTGAATTATAAACCCAGTTTTTAAAACTTACTGAAATACAAATGTAAAATATGAAGGTTACAATACCAAACAAAAAGACCTCATTTTATGAAATGTAGTTATTTAAATTCTAATTCCAAGACCAAATTCATGATGAATTTCATTTCCTTGAATTTAAAATACTCAATACATGCCATGATATTTGGACTAGAGATATTCCTTACAATAAAATAGTTTATAGGAAGTTTCTATTCTCCTTTGAATTTCATAAGATCCTATTAGAAATATCACTAAAATGAAGACATAATTATATTTATAAATGTTTCAGGTATGCAATATTCTAAATCAGCCACAAGTTAATGTATAAATTAAAAATCAGAAGCTTTGACTCTTCAATAAAATTAAACATAGTGTGAAAAGTGCAATCTTTGACCTATAGTTCCTAATTACATCTGCTTAAAAACAACAACAACAACAACAGAGCTACACCATGAATTAACACTAGAAACAGCTATACACTGTTACAGTAGACTATATCCCAGGCCCTTCAAGTCCAAGTTGTTCTGCTCTTCTTTTAAAGGTGGTGGGAGTTGAGGGAAGGGAGCCTTAAGGTCAGGACCATATGCTGGCTGACATTAGCAGTTTCCTGGGGTCCATCTGACAAGGATTGTAACTGTAATCAGAAGGGATCATTTATACCTGATGTCACTCACTGGCTGGCACCCACCACCTGCCTGAACTGAGGGCCTGATGGAGCTGCCTCACTGCCTGTGGCAACCACCCTGGGCTGCTCCACACACGGTAGACTCACTTAAACCCAAAAGGATTAAATTCCATACCTTGATGCCTGACAAAGGAAAAAAAAGATATACTAATCAATCCCTGAATTTGTATACTAATTAGTCCTCACGCTTTAATCCACAAAATTCTTAGACAGCCACCATGTTTCAGTACACAAGAAAGCAAAACTGGGTTCCTTTCACCTCTAAAAATACAAATCAAATAAAAACTTGAGATATTGTTGAAGGCTTATTGATCCATGGGGCACTGATTTAGAATTCTAGTTTCTTGTCCTGCCCTGACACCCAACATATTTATCCAAGGGAGTGTTATAAACAAAGTCTGCTGTGTTTCATAACTCCAGGGGACCCTGTTCATTTGGAATGCCATATAAAGGGTATTCCCTGGAGTCAAAGAAAGCAAGCTGCCCTGGTTATAAAACACAGGCATTACTTTAAAACAGCTGTGAGCCCTGGCTGGTGTGGCTCAGTTGGCTGGGCATTGTGCCACAAACCAAAAGGTCACCAGTTCAATTCTTGGTCAGGGCTCCTGCATGGGTTGCGGGCTAGGTCCCCAGCTAAGGGTGTGCAAGAACAACCCATCGTTTCCCTTGCACATCAATGTTTCTGTCCCTCTCTTTCTTCCTCCCTCCCTCTCTCTATATATGTGAATAAATAAAATGTTTAAAATAATAACAAAATAAAATAGCTTTGAGCTCCGATCGAGGCGGGCATAAATAAATAAATGAATAAATAAATAAATAAATAGCTAGCTAGCTTTGACAAAGCAATAGTGACCTACTTAGTTTTATATAAAACCTACTAACAAGTTAATGGGCTGTTCAAATTGTTTAATTAGAAATTAAAGGCTTGAAGACAAAAAAGAAGTGTTTGACAGTACGTGATAAAAATGTAAATAGGATTGGTGGGAATCAGACCCATAAATACATAAATCAAAGAGAACCTGGACATCAGTAATCTATTGCCTTTCTGTGTTTCTCTGAAATCACAACACACTCAAAATCAATTCTGGATTGAGAACCTAATTATACTTGTTTGTCCCCTATTACTCAAGTGGCTTTTCCAAATCACGCAGGGCAGCTTTCAGATTCAGAATAAACTGTTTTTCAGTGTGGTGTCGTTCTAAGTTAGTAGGTATATGGGATACCCTTGACATGCACATCTTGGAAAACCTCTGGGGAAGAAGGCCCCGTCTACCTTGAACTGTACTTCAGTTCCCCAACACATCAGGGGCTGCACCCTGCCAGTCACTCACCTTCTTCACGGCATGGAAACAGTCGAGAAGTGTAATGAAGAAATTGCAGCTCCCATAGGCAGCATCTCTGAAATCCCAAAAGTATAGAAATACATAACTCGGTTAATTTTCCACAGTACGCTGACCTCAAAACAAAGCTGACTAGAAGTTAAAAATCAAACGTGTACTCGGAGCAAGTCTCGGAAAAAAATTCTTGCTGTCTGTTTTTTACAAAAAATGTAAGCATTGTTATAAATTTGACTGCCATTTCTATCTACTCCAGTAGATATTTTTTATAGATGTCAATCAATAATAACCACTTGGAATTGTAAATGATCTCTCTGGATCACTTTCGGCTTTGATGGTGAACTTCAAGAGTTACTAATCAATAATGTGAACCCCTGTCCCAAAAGGGTAAGGCATCTGAATTTTTTTTTTCACACTGGAACAAAAATCATATCAAACTGTTACCAGGAAAGACTGCTTTTTGGTTCTGCGCACAGATACATATATCTGTGTGTATGTGGTTGTGTATTCCTCCATTCAAGCAAGAAAAAAAAAGGTACTATTTCAAATACTATGTGCAAGCTAAAAGGTATTTTTCTCCTCTCATTATGCTTTTGCAATTTTTAACAGTTTAACTTGGATAACTTCTTTTTGATTCCTAAAGGACAACAGTACCGATAAAACCACAGGAAATAAGGCATTAACAACCCTTAGTGGAATCACTCTACTCTTGGAAAGCGCTTGAGTTAGTTTGCAGACAGCTCTGCCCAACACTGATCAATAACCTTACTACACATCTCTTAGTATCAGTGAAAAATAAGGCCTTTTCCACTCCCACCTGCTTCTCCTTTTTGACTACCTTGAGCCATTACAAAGTGAAAGTTTTTGGAATTAAATAAGATAAAAATTAGTATCATTATGCTCATTATGCTCCTTCTAGACATGCTGAGCAATTGCACCCATCTGAATGGTCATTATTTGCCCCTAAGAACAGGACAGCTATTGGAGCTAACAACTGCATGCCCTGGTTGGGTTTTCATATTATAATTTTAGCTGAAAAATGTTAATTCCTATAGAACAACAAAATATTTAAAAAAGAGAAATGAAGATGAAAAATAAAATTATACACTTGAATCCTATGTAATTTTATTGACCAATGCAATACCAATAAATGCAATAAAAATATTTTTTTAAGTTCCAAATAAAAAACATTTTATTTTTTGCACAAACCTTAAGAATGGAGATGATTACAGCAACATTAAACTAAAAATGAGGAAAAGTAAGGGCACCGTCTCAGCTCAAACAGTTTTAGATGCTCCTGCCTGAAATGGTTAGAATTACTGAGGTGTCATGTATGTTGGCTTTCATGCAGCTTGCACATGAGGTCTTACCACATGTCATTTTTACTTTGTAAGCTTCTGAATTAGAATGTTACTGTTCTGAAAGCTGGGAAAGATCTCTATATTATCAATAGCTTGTTGACAATATTCAGGAAGGAGAAAAACAACATGACCTGCAGCAGTGATTCTGAGTGGGGTCCCTGGACCAGCAACATCAGCATCAACCCAGCTGTGAGAAATACTAGTTCTCGGGCTCCACCCCAGAACTGCTGAGTCAGAAGCTCTAAGAGTGGGGTCCAGTCACTTTTGTTCTAGCAGATGATGGTTACATATGTTCAGTTTAAGAACCACTGGCCTATAACATGAACATAAATACTTGTCTCATAAAATAAAGAACAGTTTTAGAAAGAGAAGCTAAGTTAAGAAAATTAAGTTCTTTAAGAGTAATCAAAATTAAATTATCAGTGGAAATAAGCTGAACTCTCAAGTTACATCCCAATGTTTTTACCATCTCCTCAGCTAGCTAGGATTATCTTCTTAAACAACTGACAATTCTTTTCCAATCAGGTTAAGGCATGTTGATTCAATCTTTGTGTGAACTTAATACATGCATTCAATGCATATTTTTGGAGAACTGTGGGCCAAACCCTGCACTAGTCAATAATGATCACACAAGCTTTAACCTGGGCTTGGCTTATAGTTCTGCCTCATATGTCACACTATCTGAATAGACAACAAAAATCTTCCTTTACTCACTCATGTTTATTTCATTAACACTTCCTTCCTCCTATCCAAGCAATCAGGCCTCTTCCAAACAGCAGAATAGCAACTATAACTTTGGCAGTAAGCCTTTGCAGGAAGAGGGGCCTTGGCACTGGGATCATTTAACAAACTGAGAAAATAGGATGAGAATCAGTCAAGGAGGTTTGCTTAGAAACTGCAAAAAGATGACAAATAACAGTTTTTAAGAATAACAGCTTTCACATGAGACTGTATTCAAAATAGCCCAGAAATGCAAATAACCCATTACCCATCAAAATGACAATGGGCAAATAAATTGAGACATATTCATAGAATGGAATGCTACAAAAGTAATTAAAAGAAAAAGTACTGATACCTACCACAACATGGATAAACTTCACAGTTGGTGTTTAAAAAGCTGGATTCCAACTCTTCAAAATGCATACTGTATGATTCTGTTTATGTAACATACAAAGGCAAGAAAAACTAACTGATGGTGGGAGGGGTCCTAGCTTGAGGGGCGTTACTGACTGTAAAGTTAAAGGAGGTGTAGGGAATCTGCAGGACGCTGGCAATGCTCTGTACCTTGACTGGATGGTAGTTGCGTATGTACAAGTGAAAGTTTACTGGGTTATATACGTAAGATTAGTGATTTAAAAATTGTATGTAAGTTATACATCTAAAAAAGAAAAATATGAGTGTAAAACAAATGCTAATGAAGGACCAGGCACCATGCCAAGTGTTTTTTATATGTAGGATGTTACTTAATCCTAACAACCCCATTAGGGAGAAACAGCTGTCATTCCCATGGACAGACAAGGAGACCAAGGCTCACATTTGTAAAAAACCACCGATATATTATTACCAGCAGGGCTGAGTGTCGCCCTCCCATCTGTTAAATATCAATAGCCAAGCTACTGGCAACTATGCACCACCACCTCTAAAAAGATGAGAGCAGAGACCAGCCCTGCCAAAAAAAAAAAAAAAAAAAATCAATCAACTAAGAAGCAAGAGTAAGCTAGGTATGTCAAAGAATGGAACTATATCCTCTTATAATAACAATAATCCTAATGTATCAAAAGAAAATATTGAACTGTATTTTATACTATTTTTTCATTTAGACAAGCAGAGAAACAGCTAATAATTCATTAAGAAATCATACACTGTACACAATAACATTGTAATAACTATATATGGTGCCAGGTGGGTAATCGATATATCAGGGAACCACTTTTAAAGAATGTGACTGTCTAACCACTATGCTATACAACTAAAACTAATATAAAATATTGAAATTAAACTGTAATTGAAAATAATTTTTAAAAAGAAATCATACATTGATGTAAACTCAGTGGCTGAAGAATTATATCTACATTGAATTAGATATTGCTGTGGAGCATAAAAGTTACTGACTGTAAATGAATACTCTCCTTGCACAATCCCTTGTTGACATACTTTGTTAGCAGTTATATTTATCAACTCGAAGTGGCAAGGACAAGAGGCTATTATAATGCAATTTCTTTTCCAAATATTATCAGGCTTTATTTAATCAGTAAGATCTATAGAATAATAAAATAGGGTGAAGCACTAAAGTTTTTAAGGTGTTATAGACTGATACTTTTATAAAATATAAAATACAACAATGTTGTACTATTACATAAACAAGATAATGCAATAATCTTATCTTTGAAAATAAAAATGAATTACTAGAAAAGTGGAAATAAAAAAAAACAAAGTATAAGCCCAAGTTCTTCTATTATTTGATTCCACAGACATAAACACACTCTATTAAATTACTATAAAAGTCTCTAAACCTTTACTCTCAATTCCTGTACTTTTCCCATCACAGGCTAGTAAGAAAAGTCCACGGTCTAGCCCAATTTCACAGGCCCCACACTGAGAAACAACGATTTAGATAAATCAAATGTCTGGCCCCCGTGACTAAAGAGATTCAAATTTCATAATCCTGAACTGTTTCTAGCTAAGTTCTGTTTATTAGTTACTCCTGAGACTAGAAGCAACCAACCTGCATTTTAAACACAGGGACAGCAGCAAGCAATATTTATTCTATTTTTGGCCCCCGTATTTAAATGAACATACAACTTCTTTTACATCAACAGTGTTTCTTGGATCCTCACTTGAGTTAGGTGAAATATGAGCTTATTCATATTTCAGAACATTGTTATAAACTTGAAAAATGGCACTATTATAAGGAATTAGCAATATAAAGGTTAAAGAGCCCTGGCTGGTGTGGCTCAGTGGATTGAGTGCTGGCCTGTGAACCAAAGGGTTGCCGGTTCGATCCCCAGTCAGGGCACATGCCTGGGTTGTGGGCCAGGTCCCCAGTGGGGGGCACAGCACGCAAGAGGCAACCACACATTGACATTTCTCTCCCTGTCTTTCTCCTCCTTTCCCTTCTCTAAAAATAAAATAAAAAAATAAAAATAAAATAAAATAAAATAAAATAAAATGCACAGTTTAAAAAGAGCAACGGAGAGTTCTGTAGAACAAAATTATCATTGTCAATGTACCTGTCACTCAGGGACCAAAAATACAATCATTTTTTTCCTAAAGAAAGTACATGGTAGTTGTCATATTTTAGGTTGAGAAGAAAAATGGGGCACTCTCCAGCTTAGAAAATAACATTCATCGCTTCCTACCCACCTCGAATAACAGAATACTTAAGATGATTCATGCGCCAGGAGGAAAGGGGGTCATATTGGGTTCAAAGCAGTTCTACTTTGCTAAATCACTAATGTATGGTCTTGAGTGCAACATGTAACTGTTCTCACAGTCTGCAATTGTCCTAACAAATCTCTTTCATGAAGTTAAGTCCATAGACAGTCCCTACAAAGTTATTTATTTAAAGAGGAGATTCTGCCTAAGGTTAGGGAGACTCATCCCAAAGCTTGTCCACCATTAAGTCAGGTTTAGAACCTTACATTTTAAAGGCAAGACCATACCTTCAAAATCAGGCATTTGAGTATAGGCAACAATGCTAAACCTACTAATCTGTGAGTGGAAGAATAATGTAATATTTGAAATTATCCATAGCCCAGGATTCTCATCCAATTATTCCATCAAGGGGAGTGGTTCTCAAGTAGGAGCAATTCACCACCACCACCACCTCCAGAAACACCTGGCAATGTCTAGAGGCATTTTTAGTTTTAATTTGTTGTGGGATGCAGGCGTCACTGGCATCTTGGGGGCAAAAGCCAAGAATGCTGCTAAACACCCTACAATACACAAGACAGCTCCACAACAAAGTATCAGTAGTGTTACTGCTGAGTAACCTAAATCTATAGTGTTATTTACACCCACCCTAAAATGACTATTTACCAAGGGTTCCTTTTTCAGAAACAACTGTATCAAGATATTTCTGGCAAGGGCCTGATTAAATGAATCTACCATATCATTCTTATATATTTACCTGAAAGGAATATAGGATGTATCTCCAAACATTAATATTCTATATGCTTCTTCTGGAGTTCTCCCCAGATATATAACCTACATTTGAAAAGAGAAGAAAAAGGCAATTTACTTCTAAATGAAGATGCAGTGCTGTCACTGCGAAGTTTCGTACAGTTTTGAGGTAGTCGACTACGCCTAGCTCAGGGTTCTTCCAACCTTCCCAAGAGTCCTCTGAGCCACCCAGTACCCTGTCAGTGAACCCCATTTTTCTGTGAATCCCTTTTTTCATTTAACTCTGTCACAGCTGGTTTCTTTGCTTGCAGTAAGAGCGGTGACCGACAGCTTTCCATAACAATCTTTTGTGGTAAGAAGCACAGTAATTTAAAAACAAATTTCCTAAATCAAGATGTTAGCCTGAGCACATGCTTTTACCTCAGCCCCTTCCTAAAAATCCACTGAAATAAAACTTGGTAACTTTTTCAATGACTTCTTTATACGACTCAGAATTTAAAGTGTATCATCCCAAAGAAAGCTTTAGAATTGAATCTAATACTGAACCCAGTACAAAGGTACAAAGGACTAACATATAACTATCAAAGAAATTTGTTAACAATCTGTAATTTTGAGTTTTATACCCACATCTGTCCTAGTCAGAAGGTCTCCCCAAATGAAATTATTCTAATTTTTTTATTTAAGAAAAATCCTATAAATGGCTCCTTTACTAACACAAAATCTCAAATCAGTAAACTCTAAATCAATGTGATTTTATGAGCAAGCCATCACTGGGTTCCTGGCAATAAGGAAGCTAAGTGGGTGGTCAAATTCTTGTGGTGTATTTTCATGAAAAACTATGTGTTGAAAATGACCACTCTAATTCCACATTGCTGTTCAAAAATAGGAAGTAACAGCCCTGGCTGGCGTAGCTCAGTGGATTGAGCGCAGGATGCGAACCAAAGCACCGCAGGTTCGATTCCCAGTCAGGGCATATGCCTGGGTTGCAGGCCTCGGCCCCCAGCAACCACACATTGATGTTTTTCTCTCTCTCTCTTTCTCCCTCCCTTCCCTCTCTAAAACTAAAAATAAATAAATAAAAATCTTTAAAAAATCATTAAAAAAATAGGAAGTAACAAATGATGAACAAGAGCAATATTAAACAGCTGTGGTAGCCAGCTTCCAAGACAACCCTAATAATGCTCATGCCCTGGTATTCCCACCTTCATGTGCCCCCTCCCACAATGAATATAGCGTCCTGTAGAAGCAATTGGATATTGCAGTAGCAGCAAAGTGTGATGCCTGAGGATAGGCCAAAGAAGACACTGTGATTTCTACCTTGCTTTCTCGGGCTCCTCACCACAGGTAAATCAAGCTATCACTTTGTGAGGGCACTTGGCCAGATCACATAGCAGGGGATTTACAGCCTCGCACCAAGTATCAACAATAACTTGCCAGGCATGCGAATGGGCCACCTTAGCAGTGGACCCTTCCAGCCCCATCAAGCCTTCGGATGATTGCATCAGGTCCAGAAGCAGACCTACTTAAGTCAGCTACTTCTGGATACCTTCCCCATAGAAACTGTTTGAGAGAAGGTTAATTATTGTTTTAAGTCACTAAGTGTTGGGATAATTCATGATGCGACAAGATTAAACAGACTACCACAATACAGTAAGGAAGGAAATCATCATTCCAATTTATTAAAAGTGGATAAATAAAAAAATATGTGACAAGTGCAGAGATGTTAAGGTAAGAAAGCCCCACGGCTTAAGAATCATCAGTAAGGAGTACATGTTGTCGTTAGTGTGTGTGTCTGTCTCTCTCAAGAAACCTCTCCGGAGGATCAAAGCAATCTCACAAGAATGAAATATTGGGATAGAATATACTTGAGAAGTTAGGTTAGTAGTGAATTTCTCAGTCACAGCACAAGGTTCTTTTTTGCTGAATAATACTGTAGCCATTCCCAGGATGACCACCACCCCGGTGTTTGAAATTACCATCTGTCCGACCCTGTATTACCTATCCATGTTTCAAAACCCAGGAGGGACTCCATTAGCGATGGCTGAAACAGTGGACTGAAACAAAAGGATCCCAGCTTGATCATTTATAGTTTAAATCCCAACCATCTCAAATAATAAAACATGATTACATAGTTATACAATTTTTTAAGAGCTGTCCTTCTTATTTCTATTCTTACACAAAACATTTTGAAGTAATCTATGCACTTAGAGCCTCTGGTACAGTTTTAAAAACCAAAATATTAAAAGTCAGCATATCTTACTCAGAAATGACACAGGGTATTTAAATTCCACAACAAATGTGGCAGCCTTCTGGGTAAAGGGATTCATAAATGGGTAAAATATTTTCAAATATTCTTCATGGAGAAATGTCACAACGTTTTCAGATTTAACTATTTTCACATGAGCCAAATGACAGTCTTCCCTATGTTGAGAACTTGACTGAAATTTTCTAAAAAAAAAATCACTCTCCAGATTAATAGAATGTTCATGAATCAGTACATGTTGGAAATAAACTTAAAGATCCAACTGCTGAATAAAAAGGTGAGCACGGAAAGACTATATACAACAAACCATTCTTCATGATAAAAATAAGATAAAAATCACTTTCAGTTTCTGCACAAATACAAATAAGAAGAAATCTTAAATCATTTTTAAAAATTTCAGATGCCCTTCTATCCTGATAGTTTTTATTTTTCAAATTGCTATTGTTTTATGTGGTAGGCTGGCACAACAACACCCAGTTTAGAGAAAGGGAGACAAGCAGGCAGCTGATACACATGAGGGAACTGCCCAGAGTGAAAGTAAACGTGGACATACTATCGGGGGGCGGAACGCGGGCAGGGGTTGTCATTTTTTTTTTAAGACAAAGCAATAAATCTTAATTTTTTTAAAAGTGAAATCTCCTAATTTTTAAATATTGATAAAAACAAACAAAGTACTATTGATAAAAACCCTGAGTTACATAAAGCTGGCAGGCTACTACTATCCAACCTGTGGGGTTAACTGCTCACCCAAGATCATACTGCTTGTTTTTTTGTTTGTTTTTAAAGTCTCACCTGAAGACATGCTTACTGATTTTAAGAGAGGGGATGGGTGCGCGAGAGAGAAACATCCACGTGAGGGAGAAACATCAACTGGTTGCCTCCCGTAGGCACCCCAATGGGGGACTGCACCTGCAACCTTCCGGTTATAGGACAACACTCCAACTGAGGGGTCAGGGCCACACTGCTTGTTACTGACAGAAACAGGCTTACTGCTTAGGCCATATTTATAGACAAGAAACCACACTATCTAAAACAAGTACTGAAACAGAAAGGGATCCAAAAGTCCAGAGCTTGGACTACCTACCAGCCAAGTTGGCAGCGTAGGTAAACATGGCTTGCCTCCTTGCACAACCACATCAAAATTATAACTAAACTACAGAACCACCATCATTCAGAACCATTAGAAATGGTTCTAATGATAAATTGAGATGAATGGAAGTCCTACAACTATGGAATTAAAGAAGAAACCACACTGAGACTGGTAGGAGGGGCAAAGACATGGAACAGGCCGGTCTCACATGCATGTGTGGGCAAATAAAAATCAGCATGGACATCTCAGGAGCGAGGGACCCCAACCCCACACCAGGTGCCCCAGCCCAGGGTTCCAGTGCCAGGAAGAGAAGTCCCATAACTTCTGGCTGTAAAAACCAGCAAGGATTGAGGCTGTGGAAGACAGAAACTTCTGGAGTTCCAGGCAGTTCCTCTTAAAGGACCCACACACATATTTACTCAGAATCACTCCCTCTAAGCTCCAGAACTGGTGAAGCAGATGGGAAGCCATCAGAGTCATACAAGGAGGAACTGAAATGTCTGGTATGAGAGTAAGAGCTCAGGGGCAGTTTCCTTCCAGACAGAAGCGCTGGCAGTAGCAATTGTTCCTTTTCCGACTCCTCCCCCTGACAGAGCTGACAGGTAGGCGCAATATCTAAGACTCTATGAACCTGGCTCACTTGATTTGCCCCACCCTGGTGATTCCCTGAGGCCCAGTCCCAACCAACTTTCAGGCTCACCCAAGCTTTTACCAGTGGCTTTTCCATATGAATGGCTTGTCTTGGCTCATTCTTCCAATTTTCCTAAGATCTCTCAAACAAGCAGCATGTGGCTTCAGTGAGCCCCTACCTCACGTTAAGTTGCCCCAGCCTTGGCACTAGCAGCAGCTGGCCTTGGTTCAGAGCTTGGCCTCTCCTGGGCACCTCCAAGCCCAGTACAAGTAGCAGCCATCTGAAGATAACATTGTAGCTTATCTGTGTGACCCCAGAGAGAACACAGGACATGCCAAGAGCAATCAAGGCTTAACTATAACAGGAGGGTGTACACAGCCCACATGCTGGGTGAACCTGGGGTACCCAGCTTGGGTAATATAATAGGGGAAGCTGTGCCACTGGACCCTACGGGATACCTAATATGTCAGGTCACTCTACCAAGCCTGGGAGATGTAGCAGCTCTACCTAATAAATCAAAGCAAACACAAGGAGGCTGCCAAAATGAGGAGAAAAGAAACATGGCCCAAATGAAAGAACAGAACAAAACTCCAGAAAAAGAATGAAACAAAATGGAGACAAGCAAGCTACTTGATGCAGAGTTCAAAACACTGGTTATGAGGATGCTTTATGAACTTAGTGAGAACATCACAGCATAAAAAAGACCCAGTCAGAAGGATATAATGCTTGAAATAAAGAATAATTTACAGGAAATCAACAGGAGAGTAGATGAAGCTGAGAATCAAATCAGTGATTTGGAATATAAGGAAGAAAAAAAGCCCCCCCCAAACAAAAACAAACAAACAAACAAACAAACAAACAAGAACATCCAATCGGAACAGCAAGGGGAAAAAAAAAGAATCCAAAAAAGTGAAGACAGTGTAAGGAGCCTATGGGACAACCTCAAGCCTTCCAATAGTCATATCATGGGGGTGCCAGAAGGTGAAGACAGAGAAAAAATTGGAAATTTGTTTGAAAAAAAGTAACAGAAAACTTTCCTAACTTGGTGAAGGACACAGACACACAAGTCCAGGATGTGCAGAGGGTCCCAAACAAGTTGG